TGCTTCTCCCTCTCCCACTCCCCCTGCTTGTGTTCCCTCTCTCGCTGTGTCTCTCTCTGTCAAATAAATAAATAAAATCTTAAAAAAAAAATAAAACTCCATCTGTCATCTAAAAATAGGACTGTTGTGAAGAAGCACAGAGTTAAGTGTATAAAGTGATTGATGAATGGTGGCCTTTACATTGGCTGATGGTACACGGGCTGACATGTCTCTCCAAAGTGAGGCCTGTGACCAGGGAGATCGAGTTTGATTTGTGAAACGCAGACCTGGATCATAATGTGAATCATCATCTCGTCCATTTCTCCAGCAGCTGCAGAGTGCTGGCTCTGTGACAGGTCCCATGCTGGGCTCAGGGGCTGCACCATGGAAAACCCCATAGTGCGGGGCTAGACAAAGTCTTCCAAGAGCTGTGGGGAGAGAGGTTAGTTCTGTCTGAGGGGGGAGGCGAGAAAGACCTTGGAAGGAAGCTGGCTGCATCCTCACTTAGTAAAGGAGCATGAAAACCCATGAAGCATGAAGAGTCCCAACCACTTTTCTCTTCCCTGTGTTTTGAGAGGTAGTGCGTAGCTCAGTGATGAAGAGTATAGACGCCGGAGCCACATTGTTTGGGTTCAGATCCAAGCGCTTGAAGCAAAGCCCTCACGATGATGACCTTGTGTACACTTGCCGGAAGGTAAACCACCCAGGACAGTGCCTTGCTTCTAACAGTTTCTATGTGACTCCTTATTATTGTCATTGAGGCTTTCCACCAGAAGCAAGGATGATTCTCAAAGGGTGGACCCCTGGGGACTTCCTCCACCTGCCACAACACCATGAAATTCCAGGCCCTGATGATCTCAGGGCCCTGGATAGGGAAGGGGTTTGAGTGAGCCCACTGGGCTGTGATTATCTTCCTATTTTGCATCTCTATCTAGTACCTTCATTTGATTTGGACTCACATCTCAAAGGAAAAAATGGCATTTATCAAATAATCGTTTGAAAGGGCAAACAGCTCCTGTGGAGCCCTGGACTTTGCCTCCATAGTTTTGAACCAAGTACCTAGTTTTTGTTAGGAATAACAGCTGCCATTTATTAAAAGCTCCTTTTTTGCCAGGCATCATGCTAAGCATTTTATATGCTTTGTTTACCACATCTCACTACAGCCTAAAGGTGGATGTTATTAGTGTCCCCATTCTGCAGATGAGAAGGTAAGGCTTAGGGACCATATAGGTAGAAGGTGGCAGAGCCAAGATGGAAACCCACATTGGCCATTTCCAAACCCACTTTGCTTAACCACTCTGTTTCCATTTTGGTAAGCAAAGTTCTGGTTTCCCTCTGCTGTTTCAGTGTCACGTCCCACTCTTGCGCTCTTCTTGATGGGGCAAGCTGAGTCTGGGGCCCCTGCAATCCTATCTGTGCTCCACCATTCACCTGGTAGCACCTGCCTGAACTGACCCTCTGGAGCTCAGCGAGAGCAGTCTCAGCAAGGCTGGTCCTGTGGCCAGTCCTCTCTAAAGTGATGTCATGATCTGAAAGATATCAGAAGGGGAACCCAGTTATTCCAGAGGTCACTGATGATGTGGGACTGAGAATTCTTATAGTGGTCAGAGGATAAAGGGAAAGGGAGACAGCGCCCCAAAGAGAAAGGCTTTGAAGACAGTAGGGGAGAGGGACTAAGTGGCGGAGAGGAGCTTTAGAGGAGAGGAGAGGACATTGCGGGGCGGGGGCGGGGGCAGTGCAGAACCTGAGATTTCAAGCAATCAGAGTCCCGAGGACTCAGATGGTCTCTTGTTAGACACAAGTGCCCAGTGCACCAAGACTGGCATGTGGTAGATGTTCAGTAACTGCTTACTCATTCGTAAGTAGCTTGGCAGGATGGAGTTGGGTGGGCAACGAGCACTTACTGAGCACCTACTGTGTGCCAGGCACTTAACATGCTTTATCTCAGACAATGGCCATCACTATTCTACTAGGTCAGCACTAACCCCAATTACATCAGGGGAATGATGGTTCACAGGGGTTAAATCACCTGCCCAAGTTGAGGCAGTTGATAGAACTTGGGTTCTATTCCAGGGATATCTGACTCAAAAGCCATGCTCCATCCATAGTACCTCACTCCTTCAAAACGTCAGCTAAGTGTTACCAAAATCTCCCAGATGGCATCCAACACAGTCATAATGCATAACTCCTTAAGGAAGCCCTGAAGGAGAGAAGCTAGTCATGGGCACCTTGGCAGAGAAGTGGGAGAATATAATTTTGTTTGGGTGAGCCTTTTAGTACCTCTTGAAGGTGGCCACATGGCCCTTATACTCATGGGAACGACCCTGAGGACAGGTCATTATCCATTCATTTATTCATGCAAATTGCAGTTGAGCACCTGCTATGCGCAAGTTGCCATGTTGGTGCCTAATACTGTGCCTAGCACATTGGGTGTTGAATGTGCTAAGAAATATATGTTGAGTGAATGAACGCTGGCCTCTGGAATCTTATCAAGTGGTAACCGAAAGTGCCAGGGAAGCCATCAAAATATTTCTATAGGAAAGATGCTGTGAGGATCATAAATAGCTTTGGTATCACATTTTTGTGTGCATACTGTGAAAGAGTTCACATTTCTATTTTTAAAAAAAGCAACGTAAAAACTCATGTTTCTTTGTGATGTCAGACACCCCACATGGTAACTTTTCATTGCAACCACATAAATCCTGTTCGTAGATTGGTTGAAGCCATTCTTCCCTTGTCCAAAAAGTTAAGATTTTTTTCTGAGATTTATGTCAAAAACATCACTGTGTCTGAAGCTTAAAATACTCTAAAAGCAAAAAGCGAGAAGGGAAGGAAATGGTGGAATGCATGGTATTTTTACGACTCCCATAAAGAAGAACAGTAAAAAATTCTCTCCTGACCACAGTGCCAATGGTTTAATGTCCTGACTAGAGATGCCTCGTGATGTAGAACTCTGAGATGCCAGTTTGGCTTGTTCTTTGGAGTCTGGGAAGTTAATCCAGGCTGGATCCCTCTGGGACCCCTCTGGCACGCATAGTGAGAAGTAAGGGTATAATTCAGAGGGGATGTGGAAATTCCTCGGGACCCAGCAGCCTTGGTTCTGTGTTCACCTGTGACATCACCCGTTTGTCTGCACAGCCTGGGAGGGAGGGAGATGTGACTCCGTGGCCTCTTTCCAGGACTAGCCTCACACATTAACAGAACAGTTTCTGCCCAGGAACAGAGTCCACCTATCCTGCAGACAACCCCAGTCTTCAGCTCGGTGAAACTGGCAGTGTCCAAACATCCAATTAAACTAGAGTAGGAGAGGCAAAGACCAATGACACACCGGCTTCTGAGGGTAGCAGGTGAATGGCCTGGCAGGGGGTCTGTGAGCCAATTTCAGGTGTGACACTCAGGGTTCTAAAGCAATAATGCAGACTGTTGTCCTCTGTTCTTTGGTTTCTCCATCTGTAGGATGGACACAGCCAGTGACCTATGTCACATTTTGCTATCACAGAAAAAAGATGTCATGCAAAATGGTGAAGGTTATTTTGAAGACTTTGGTTAGTTCAACACAAGTCAAATAAATATTCACAGAACAGTGGAATTCCAAAAAAGGAATATTAGAGTTAAACCCCACTTTTGAGTATTTAATGACAAAATTTTATTTGCTCATAAGTGAAGAATCACTAGATCTTCCTCATCCACGAAGTGCCCTTCCATAAAATGGAGATAATATTAGCATCTACGTGGTGAGGGTGGATGAGGTCAGCAACCTGGGCTTTGGCGCCAGAGGAGTGAATCCCAGTTCTGCCACTTGCCGGATCCAGGCAAAGTGAGCCCCGGTTTCCTGATCTATAAAATGTGAGCAGATAACCATCCACCTCCCAGAGTGGTTGTGAAGTTCGAATGAGGCCGTGTATCCAAAGTGCAACAACTGGCACATAATGCTCCACTGACGGTAGCTCGTGTTACCAGCACAGCACTTCCAGGAGGCTTGAGTTGAAATTATGGATGCAGATAAGGTGTTCATCATTGCAGGGGCCCTACTCATGAACTTCTGTAAGCTCTCCGGGACCAGGGATCTGCATCCGCTCACGTCTAGCACACGGTGGCAGTACATCGGTCTATGTTGTGGCTTGGATGTTAAGTGACTGAACGAGAATGACAAAGATGGTTCTCTCTGCCCTCCACCATGAACTGTGGAATGAATGCACCCCTCCCCCTCCAGCCCTACCAAATGATCTTTTGCTTTTCTTTTGGCCCCACCTTCCAGGTCATTTCCCAGACCCTCTCCCCCACCTGGAACCAGATGCTGCTATTCAATGACCTGGTGCTGCACGGGGACCAGAAAGAGCTGGTGGAGTCCCCGCCTTCGGTGGTGGTGGAGCTATATGACAGCGACGCCGTGGTGAGTGTCCCAGGCAGTGCCCACTGGGCTGCAGTCCACTGACGTACTTTGTCTAACCAGCCTGTGACGGCTCAGGACCCAACAGGTGCCCAGACACCATTCTGACCTGGGAAAACAATGATTTGAAATGGGAAAATGGGTAATGGTCATTTGCTTTACTAAGGGGTTTTTCACTTAGATTTCCCACGAGATTGCAATTAGAATAGGATCCGGGTCACAAAACTTCAGTCTGCACATGCTTCTTCAGGAACAGGATCCTTGTATGAAGTCACCTGCAGTTGCACCCAGCCTTCTGCTATGTCCTATTGCTGCTCAGTAAAAATGCTCAGTAAAAATGTCCAGGCCTCAGGAGCCTTGGGTGGTTCTGTAGGTTGAGTGTCTGCCTTTGGCTCAGGTCATAATCCCAGGGTCCTTGGATTGAGCCCTGGATCCAGCCCTACATGGTCAGGGCTCCCCACTCAGTGGGGAGCCTGCTTATTAGTCTGCCCTCCCTCCCGCCCCCCTCATGCATTCTCTCTCTCTCTCTCTCAAATAAATAAATAAAATCTTTTTAAAAATGTCCAGGCCTCTTGAAAACCAGAGGTGTTTACTGACCTCACTTGCCTGGAGGGAACTGGGTGGGTACCATCAGCAATTCAGCGCTTGTAGCGGGGTCTTGTTTTCTCTTGGTTTTGCTCCCAAGCCCTGCTGCTATGATGTTAACCAAAACTTTTCCTCTCCAAAGATGTCTGTGTTCCATACTAAGTAGATTCAAAAGCTTACTGGAGGATTTTTTTTAATTACTAAGACAAACCTTCTTTGTAATTTTATTTTTCTTCTCCTTTTTTAAATGAAATAAGTCTAAGATAAAAGTTAAAGGCCGACTTATTTTCTTTGACGTCTGCCCCCTTGGGAAGTTGAAGAAGCACAAATATATTAAGTACAATGGTTCATTCCAAGAAGCCTCCGTAGGGAGCCTCCTCACCTCCTCAAGCATGCTGGCAGCTCTGACCTTGAGGCAAGGTCAGAAGGAAATTAGGATGGGAGAATTGCAGATGAGCAGGGACCTTGGAGAGCATGCCCTCTTGCTTCCTGGAGAAGGAACCAGAGACCCAGGAAAGTCAAATGCCTTGTTCAAGGTCACAGGTAGCTGGAAGCAGAGCCGGAACTTGAACCTAGCCTCCCTCGTCCATCCTTTCTTGCACACGTGGGAGTAGCTGGTGTGGCCATATCCCTTTACACACACACATTCTGCTTTTCCATGTCTCTCTCTCTGCACCCTGTTGCTCCAGCTGTAAATCGGAGCTATAAATTGTATATGAGTTCTACTGTTGTGCCTATAGTATAGATTTTCTGTGGAGACAGCCACAAAATAAATGCCTTTTAAATTGTGTTGTTAACAACATGATTCCCATCCTAAGTACTTTTGTATTTGAAAGCCAGTAACAATGATCAAGCATCTTTGCGAACTCCTAAACCAACCTGCTGCCCTTCATGGATTTCCCTTTGCTTTCAGACCCCTTCCAGATCTCCGTTCTACGACTGCCCTCCTGGGCCCCACCCAAGCCAGCTCCTTCACAGAAAAACAATCAAAGGGAAACGTAGGAGAGAAAAAAATATATGAAAACTTTGTATTTTCTTCCTGGAGAGATACATGTAGACACGCAGAAGGTTCTGTTTACATGTGGGGGGCTGCAGCTATGCCGGGCCCACAGCCCCGGGGTGGTGATCAGATGATTACATTCTGACTCTGCTAGAATGTGGCTCCAGTCTAGGACTTTTTCTCATTACCCAGTGGCTTGTACCTGCCTTAGGGCCTGCTGCCTCTCTAAGCAAGGAGTTTATATTTGGCAAATTAGCTCAGGTTTAAGTTTATACTCTTTTGTGCCCAGGGCAATTTTACCTAATTATTCCCAGCTTGGATCATGGACGACATAGACAACAGACCACTTGCGTCACGTCCGGCGTCACATCCATCCCGCGAGGGACAGTTCTGACCCCACCAGCTTTGTTTGTTTTAAAGTCAAACTAATCATCTAAAATAATTATAAATCATCAAATAATCATTCGTTGAAACGAAACCCCATTTCCACCTCAACCAAGGTTCTTTCTACAGCCAGGAGCACGAGTGCTCGTTTGAGTCCCAAGGCAATGAAGCAGGGGGGCTGCGAAAACCTGATGGAAGCCGGGCGCTGACTGCCGGCGCCATCCTTGTACCTTGGAAGTCATTAATCCAACAGCTTTCACTCAATAAAATGTAATGAGTGCCTGCCCTGGGCTGGGGGACACAGCAGTGAGTAAAGCAGGCAATGGGGCCATTCCTGAGATAAAGAGCAAGGCAGCCCCATGCTCCAGCCCCATGCTGCTCCTGGGGGAAGGCAGACCCACGCTCCGGGGAGCAGGTGTGGCGAGAAGCAGGAGACGGCGCGATCTCATAGTTCTTTTTTTTTTTTTTTAATTTAATTTAATTTAATTTTTATTTATTCATGAGAGACAGAGGGAGAGAGAGAGGGGGAGAGAGAGAGAGAGAGAGAAGCAGAGGGAGAAGCAGGCTCCCAAGGAGCAGGGAGCCCGATGTGGGGCTCGATCCCAGGACCCTGGGATCATGACCTGAGCTGAAGGCAGACGCTTAACCATCTGAGCCACCCAGGTGCCCAACGATCTCATAGTTCTTAAGGAAATTTGAGGCCCATGGGCATACGTACATACAAAAGTATTTTAATGGCCTCTTTTATGACCAAGAAAATTGGGGCAGAACTGCTCTATCCCTTGAATATACTGACCTTCATCATCATCATCATCATATTACCATGTATTGAGCGCTCATTGTATACCAGTCACTGTGCAAAGCACATACATCATTAAGTCATTCCCCATGGCCCCATCAACAGGTATTTTTTTCTTTTTTTTTATTATGTTATGTTAATCCCCATACATTACATCATTAGTTTTTGATGTAGTGTTCCATGATTCATTGTTTGCGTATAACACCCGGTGCTCCCTGCAAAACGTGCCCTCTTTAATACCCATTACCAGGCTAACCCATCCTCCCACCCCAACAGGTATTATTTTTAATCCCTTTTAAGACATGAGGCTCAAAAAAGTTGAGTAAATGGGCCAAGGCCATAGAGCTAGAATGTAGCAGATTTGGGAGCATGGAAACCGGTTTACCTGGACTCCAAAGCTTTTGCATTCCATGACCACAGTGGTGTCCTGCCCTGCAGAGATTTTGGAATGTTTGGTGCCACCTTATTTCTTCTTTTCCCCTTCTAAGCCTACCCTAAGTGATTATTTTAACTTAATTCCACTGAGCTCTATACGTCGAGAAGAGAGATAACCCCTAAGAGCCTTGGGCCCAGAAGTTTTCCCTGGGACCCCAAACGGATTCCCCTGCACTCTTCCTACCGCCCCCAGCCTTGGTCAGGGACAAAAGACGCTTGGCAGAAGAAGAGAGTGAATTAGTAGCAAGAGGGAGACACTGAGGCTGACAGTTTTAAAAGTGCACCGACGCAGGTCAGATCCAGGTAGGTATTGACGGGGGACAAATTCCTTTCTTTTCTGCCTTAGGGGAAGCCAGAATATTTGGGTGCCACCGTGGCTGCTCCTGTTGTGAAGCTAGCTGACCAGGAGTATGAGCCGCCCGGGCTGTGCTATCACCCCATCTTTTGTGGGAGCCTCTCCGGAGGGGACCTCCTCGCTGTATTTGAACTGCTGCAGGTAAGCAAGCTGGAAGTGTCATCTGTACTCGAATCTACCTTGTCTTCCTGGCCAGAGAAGGGCCCTCGCTGGAAGTACACTCCGTAAAGCTGTGCTTGGTCGCTCCCTGCTGCCCTGGGTCTGGAGGTGTCTCCTTCTTGGGATCTGGGAACTGCCACTTAACAGTTCAGGTGACACAGGCTATTTCTAGAGCCCCTGTGCTGTAGGTCAGACTCCCAGGATGAAAGATCCTTATGGGTTTGGCCAGCAGTGCTTGAGCAGCCCTATGTGCACATCCTGGAGCACACATGGACCATGAGAGGATGCAGGGGAAGAAGGAAGCAAACTTGTGGGCACTTGCCACGCATGATGCTTGCTGCCTCACATCACTTTCATCACGTAGACCTCCCTCAACCCTGTTGAGGTATTATGATTCCCATTTTCCAGATTGTAAACTGAGGTTTGGTGCAATTGACTGACCTACCTCATCATGCAGCTAAGAGCTGAACTGAGACCTTTAAAGCCTTTTGCTTCTTACACTGCATCACATAGTTGCCCCAAAGACAGGGAGCTCTTAATTGGTCCCATTAAAACATAGGGGAATTTCTGAACGTGTGCCTCAGAAGACTTTTCCAGAAAGCGGAGGCAGGATACTGGGGAGGGAAGCTGAAACTCTCAGGTCTGACTGGTCAGTGGCAAACCAAATGGGACATGGAGAAGACCTGGAAAAGAAGTCGCCAGAAGAGACCACTGCATTTACTGAGGCAGGCGGCACTTTACCTTTGGGTCACACCAATTCCTCTCTAGGTAACCCTGTTTTTCAGAAATCCTATTTAAAAAAAACTCATTTAATAGAGAAACTAGAAGGCAGGCACTCCTAAAACATGGAGACAAGGGAGAGGGAAGGTGACACAGTCGGATCCCGTGGGTATGGATCCCATTTCTACCACTTAGTAGTATGTGACCTTGGGTAAGCTACTTAATTTCTGTTTCACCTGCAAAATGGGGATGATGATCAGTCTACTGAAAGTGCCTGGCATGGAATAAACACTCAACAAATACGACCTATTTTATTAGTAGTGGTAGTATGCCACAGAATATTGAAGCAAAATGTCTAATCCCGCCTATTTATTTCAGGTGAAGAAATTGAGTGGATAATAGAGAGGTAATGACTTGCCTAACATAGCAGGTCAGGGCCTAGAATCCAGCTATACTGACCGATTCCCCTTATGGCTGAGAGGCTGGAAAGTGTAATGGGGCAGGCGACAGCTGAGAGTGCCTTTAAAAAAGATCAGTGTTGTCAGTAGGAACATTTCCCAAAACGTGCTTGTTGGAACACCAGTTCAAAGACAGGGAAAAGAACGTTTAAGAAATGCTTCACATTCCATATTCCCATAACTTGTTTTGTTTTCATTGGTCTTCTTTTTAAAGTTGCTTTTCATTTATGCAAGTGTTACTTTTTTACCTAACAGCATAAAGTTCCCCTTTTAAAAACAAAGCGTTACCTAATGAAAATGTTCACTGGATAATAGTACAGGAGACATATGTGGTAGAGGAATGGCCGGCTTGGGAAAACCAGATCTAGGGCAAGGCTCCTGTTTCATGCGTCAGGAAGCTGAGGCTCAGGGTTAACTGACTGGGATGCAGTCAGCTGTTCTTTAACCACAGGAGGCTGCCTGCCCTGCTCTGAGCCTGAGTCGCCTAGTCGCTCAGTGAGGGGCTGGGTGACTGGTCCCTACAGGCTTATCAAGAGATGGCTCTCTGGGTTCCTTGTCTTCCCTCCCTCCATGCTGAGGGTCCCCACACATGCCCTCCCTCCACTGCTGAAGGCACCCCCTCCCCCTTCCCTCCACGCTGAGGGGGCCCCCTACCCCTTTCCCTCCCTCTACTGCTGAGGGTACCCGGAGATCCCGCTGCTTCCCCCCAGCTGCGTTAATTGTCAGAGGTGAGCAGCCTAGGAGATATAACCCATTAGGGTTTCATTAGGACTTCTCATTTGATTGCTTGTTCAGAAAGTAATTTGATCATCAGCACGACAATCTTAGTATGTGAGTCTTGTACATGCTGAGAAGACAAGAGCTGGAAAATGCCTTCATTTGTCACCAGCTGCTCTCAGTTTTCATCTGTGCGTGGTTTGCTTCAGCCTCTCCCCCTCCATTACTGAAATGCTTCTGTGTCTCAGAAGAAGGATTTGGTAACTCGGCTCTTCCGTGTCCAGACTGAATTCACTGTCTCCACTTCCCTCTCCGACCCCCTGTCCACCCAGTCCTGGCACATGGCACCACTGTTCTCCACTGTTCTCTGCCTTGAAAACTCAGACTCAGATTTAATTCTTCTCTCTGTGTCTGCGCCCTTAGCCCGGCCAAGCCTGTCTTCGAATGGTTTCCATCTTCCCTGCCGCCATATATCTCTTCAGGATCCTTGCATTGGCCTCTTTCCTGGTCTTCTAGCTTCTTACTCTTCTTGTTTATGTCATCCTCCACATTCTTTCCAGAAGACAAGTCGGTTCATACCACTGTCTTCTTCAGAAATCATCAATGGCTCCCCACTTCTTACCTCTAGAAACATTTCTCAAACTCTATTCTGTGGAACACCAAATACAGTCCTTCTAGTTACATTGAAGAGAAATTTTGGGAAATGCTTCAAATTATATCCCTCCTGGGGATTTGGAATGCCCATTACCATGGTCAACACTCTGAGAGGATCCGAAATTTCCCAAATGTTGTGACTGGGACGATTTTTGGGGGGGGGGCATGATTTTCATATCTCATGAAAAGAAAGCCTGGCCCATAAGAGAATGCCAGATTTCCACAGCTTAGCACTCAAGCTCTCCTAAAACTTACCTTCAAACTGCTTCTTCAGCCTCATGTTTCCTCATATTACTCTATACACACTCTGGCCTCTTTATGTCGGGCTACCCCAGGGTCCCTGACCTCACCACACAGATGCGCTCCTCTGCTTTTAGTCATGCTGTTAGCCCATTCTGAAATGGCTCCCCACTCCCCCCACCTCAACATTAACCTAAACCACCTGTTTATGATAATGGTCATCAAAGTTCAGAACAAGATATGCCTCCTCCAGGAAGGTCTCCCCACCCTCACCTTGGTCAAATTAAATGTTTTCTCTTCTTCCATCCTATAGCACATTGCCTCTTTTTCTTTTTAACTCTGGCTACAGTAAGGTCAATTGTTTACAGGCTTGTGTCCATTAATTTGTAAGTTTTTTGAAGGCAGGACTATTTCACTCATTCATGCAGTCAAACAAATATTATTGAGTGTCCACTGTGTGTCAGGCATGTTCTTAAGAATTCGTCAGTGAGGGGTGCCTGGGTGGCTCAGTCAGTTAAACATCTGCCTCCAGCTCGGTCACGATCCCAGGGTCCTGGGATTGAGTCCCAAGTTGGGCTCCCTACTCAGTGGGGAGCCTGCTTCTCCCTCTCCCTCAACCCCTCCCACACACTCGTGCCCTTTCTCTCTCTCAGATAAATAAATAAAATCTTAAAAAAAAATAAAAAGAATTCATCAGTGAATAAAACAGGCAAAACTCCCTCCTGAGACTTATATTCTAGTGAAGGGAAGATAATAGAGGATACTATGTAAATTATAATGTAACAGCAGTATGACACATGCGAAGAAGAAAAGGTAATGCACTGGGAGATGTGGAGTGGACATGTGTGTGTTGGGGGAGGGGGCAGTTCGACATTTTGGCATCCAGGGAGGCCTCACTGAGAAAGCGGTATTTAAGTCAAGACCTGAAGGAGAGAAGCAAGTCGGCCATGCTGGTATCTGGGCAAAGAGCATTCAATGCAGCAGGAGGAGCAAATGCCAGACTCTGAAACCTAAGTGTGCCTGGCATGTTCAAGGACAAGCAAGGACACCAGTGCTTCTGGAGCAGGGTGTAGATCAAGTCAGAGGGAAAAGATCATGTGGAGCACTGTGAGGAGTTTGGCTTTTATTCTATAAAAGATGAGAAGCCAAGAGAGGATTTTATTGAATTTTGTTAAATTTGTCTGATTTATCTTGAAAACTACGGATGCAAATTGGGTATATGCTGAAGGGGCCCAGGGGGAAACAAGGAGGCCAACTGGGAGGCTCTTCAGGTAATCCAGATTGGAGAACTGGAGACTTGGATCAAGAGTGTAGCCATGAAAAAGGATTCTGGTAGAGTCCACAGGATTAGCTGATGGGTTGGAAGTGGGGTGTGAGATTCATCTCCACGTCACACGTGGAAGCCAACAATAATAGGCACACATAGTAGACTCTCAATACATTATCTTCAAACATGTCTCACTCATTCACAAAAATATGTGGACAAAATCTGAGCATAGGGTGATGATGTTTTCCTTGCGAGAGGATTTAAATTTGCTTCTGAGGTGGTTTGGGGCTCTAGCAATCCTAGCTCACCTGAGTCCAAGATGGCGTGGAGTCAAGCTTCCACCTTTGCTGTCTCCAGTAGACCCTTACTCCTAGGGAATTTACACGTGCCGGAAAATGTGCCAGGCACCTTGCATGCTGTGTCAGCCATTCTTCGCAGCAACCCATGAATTAGACATCATTATCTTCACTTTGCAAATGACAGAGCCAAGACTCAGAAACACTGAGCAACTTTTCCAAGTTTGCACAGCTAGCAAGCGATGGAGCCCTAGGCTGTGCTACCCATGGCACCAAAGAAGAGGGGTATCGCAAATGTAAATGATGGGCTGAGGGACACAGAGGACGCAGAAAGGCTTCTGAGCAGCAGCGATTTTCAGATGAGCAGGACTGGGATTAAGGTCATGCATGACCCCGAGAGTGGCACCTGTCTAAATTTTGCACCCTAGGTCCTTGTCCTAGCCCTGCATCTGGATCTCCTTTGAGGTCCCGAAATATTGTCTCCACTGGGATATTAGAGCAATTGGCTTTTGCACCAACCTATTCAACCCACCTCTGATGCTTACCCTCTTGCATTTATAACCATTCTTTATCTTCCTCTGGCCCCATGTGCCGAGTAACTACACACCACGCAGATTTGTAAGCCAGTAGCCAACCCATTTCCCTGTGAAAATGTCTACCCTTGGTTGGGAGCAGTCATTCAGTCTACAGCATGATGCAGAGCCCTTCAGGGTTGGTGTTGAGTTCAAGGGCCTCTGTCAGGCACTGTGGGACAAAGCTTCCTTAGAACATTTCCTGGTGGCCCCAGAGTGAGGAAACATGAGGTACTTTTATAAAAGCCCAGCCAGGGGCACCATCCTATGCCACCACCACAGCTGTTTTGTGGCTTTCCCTCCAGAGCTAGAGGAGCAGTTAGCTTTCTCAGGGAGGCGAGGTCTTGCAGGCTGAGTCGCTCAGGCCAGGCGGTACTGGGCGTGCATCCTCACAGCTTCCAGCGCCTTTATCTCGTCTGCTTCTGCAGCTTCATTGTCTCCAGCCTCTTTGGCATCCACCGTGTCTGTTGTCTTCTTTGTCTGAGCTTCCTTGTAATTAGCTTAACTGCATCTGTCGTTGCCAGCTAGAATATATCTGTGAAGAAGAAATGGTGATATGTTTGTGCTTTGCCTGTTTTGAGGAGCAATTAAGCTTTTTTGAGCATATGGAGCTAATGTGTCAGTCAGCCAATAAACATTTTTCAAGAGTCCACTGGATGTGGAGCACTGCTTAAGGGGCTTAGAGAATGAAATGAAGTAAATAGAGGCTTCCTCTTGGTCAAGTCAGACAAACATACCCAGTGCATCTGGCTCTCAAAGGGTTTGAAGGGTCATCTGGCCCAATATCTGGGGCCCCAGAGAGGGGAAGGGACTCATACAGGGTCACACAGCGGGGCCTGGTTTCTGGGCTCAGACCACTAATTTCTGCACTAAGCTTCCACAGAGGACACACTGCATTCTAAGGACCAAAGGATAGGAGAACCACCACAGTGACTGGGGTCAAATCAGGGACAGCTTTTTGGAAGAAGTACACATTGAGCCAAGCCTTGCAGCGTGGGGTGGCCTTCGTAGACTTGCCAAGCTCTTTGTGTGAGATTTCAGTGAAGCATGGGGATTATCCTCCTGCAGTTTCTGTATCTTCAAATGCACAGGAAATGATACCTTTTCATTCTGGAGGTTTGTCTTCAAAAAGCTTCATTTCTGTTTCACTGATGAAGATGTAGTCTCTATTTGACTAAACACAAATCTCTTGGGGCTCCTGGGTGGCTTGGTCAGTTAGGTGTCTGCCTTCAGCTCAGGTCAGGATCTCAGGGTCCTGGGGTAGAGCCCTGCACTGGGCTCTGTGCTCAGCATGGAGTCTGCTTGTCCCAATCCCTCAGTCCTGCCCCCCACCCCACTCGAGCTTTCTCTATCTCAAATAAATAAATAAAATCTTTAAAAAATAAATAAATACGAATCTCTTTTGTAGTAGTATGTAATGGGGGTGTAGCTAAGTCTCAGAGCTCAGAACCGGACTAGAGCCCTTCTCCACACCTCTGCTGTCATTCCAATGTTATTTCATCAGCTTGTGAGGACCCACTTGTCTTTTCTTCTCCCCTCTGTATTGTGAGCTTACCTAAAGCTTATTAACCTATTAACTTTGTGGCACATTGTAAGTGCTCACTAAATGTTGGTCACCCTCGTGAAGGTGTCAATGAATAAATATTTGTCAATGAATAAATCATTAAGTGTGGTAAAATGCACTGTCTTGGCTACACTTTAAGCTGGAAACATTAGTTTTGTTAAGTGAGTGTCATATGGATGAGGTGGTTGCTCGGCGGCGCTGGTCTTCCTCATCTCTCCCCCACCTTCTAACCAGCACTTGTTCTGTGTGGTAGGTCCCATCATCTGGGCTGCAAGGGCTCCCTCCCATTGACTCACCGGATGTTGCCCAGATCTACCCAGTTCCTGCCAACATTCGGCCAGTGCTGAGTAAATACCGAGTGGAGGTATGGTGCAGGGGAGGACTGAGTTGTTCTTTGGGGCTAACGGCAGTGGTGCATTGCCATACCTGCCTGTGTTGTCTGAGGGAATTGCGGGGTGGAAATGAGGCATAGCTGACAGAACGGAGCCCTCAGGGAGCTGCACGGGCCTGTCCCAGAAGAACATACTTTAGTTCCCAGGCAGCCCACCTGACTTCCCACACCCACACCTGCACGTCGGCTCCTCCCTGGGTCTCTGAGTGACAGCTCGGCTGGTCCTCTCATCAGGTCCTCTTCTGGGGAGTCCGAGAAATGAAGAAGGTGCAGCTGCTCTCCGTGGATCGCCCTCAGGTCCTCATCGAGTGTGGGGGACGAGGAGTCAAGTCCTGTGTGATCCAGAGCTATAAGAACAACCCGAACTTCAGCGTCCAGGCAGACGCTTTCGAAGTGGTACAGCCTCTCCTTCTCCTGCCCACTCATTCCCTTCACTTCCACAGATGGGACCCTCTCCTTCATTCACTTGGCTTGGGGAGATGCTTCAGAGTTTTGGGTGTCCACTACCTACAAGGAAGAACAGTCTGAGTAAAAAGCAAGGATCTCAGAATGGGATAAAATGGACTTTTGTTATTGCTGTTGCATTGTCTTGTTTTTAAAGGTTCAGTAAATCAAAGCAGGTGGACAGTGGTTCCCGAAGTGTGGCCCCCAATTCATCAGCATCAGCATCCCCTGGGAACTTGTTAGAAATGCAGATTCTCAGGCCCTGCCCCAGTTCTGCTGAATCAGAAACTGCTGGGGGTTGGGGCCCAGACCCCTCTGGCTTAACAAGTTCTCCAGTGGTTCTGATGCATGCTAAAGTTTGCAGACCGCTGGTCTAGAAGTTTCCTTAATGAAACTTATTTTAGTGGTTAGATTTTTTAAAAATTATTTGTATGTACCATGTCAGTGGCTTGCATGTGAACTTACATTTCTAAAGTGATGTTTTTTTGACACCTGAGCTTCTATTTCAATATTTCAACACACATATTTGTGTTCTGATATGGAACTAACTGTGAAGAAAGTTTGCTTTGTGTGACACAGCTCCAGTGGACACATTTCTAAATCAGCAGAGAGTGGAATTAGAGAATGTGCACGGTGTTTGCAAACCTGTCACGCTGGGTGTTGTTGAGCCTCTGGGACCACTGGGAGACAGGAGAGGGAGGGCACTGGCCCCTTACCCTCAGTTCCATTTTTAATGTGTCCACTTTCATCTGTTTTCTATCTTGGGCCTGGCTCAGCGTTCAGTTGAATTGGCAGTCTGTGATTTTTGCATTTTACACCTGGGATGACTTGTCAGTGCCATCCCTCATATTATGGATAATTGTTCCCTGGTTTGGAGGGCAATGCTCCAGACTTCTGGCCAACTGCAGGGGTGACCTGGAGGGGCAGAACAGAAAGGCAGGGACAGAGGGAGGATGGATGCCTGGCTTGCTTTGATCCTGCCCCTAAACAGGTCAGCAGGGCACCAGCAGCGGGGCTCAGCCCAGGCAATGCTCCCCACTTCACCCTGGCCTCTCTTCCCAGGAGCTGCCTGAGAATGAGCTTCTGCACCCGCCCTTGAGCATCTGCGTGGTGGACTGGCGAGCTTTCGGGAGGAGCACCCTGGTGGGCACCTACACCATCAACTGTTTGAAGCAGTTCTTGTGTAAATCCAAGGAGCCCCCGGCCCTCACCTCCCAGGTGGATGGAACCCAAGCTGAGCAAGGTAGGAAGCACCTTCTAGATTCCGGAGCTTCAGACTACAAAGCCGTCGTGCCTGCAGAGGCCTGGTAGGGGACCCCAAAGGAAGTGGGTGCCCCACCGTCAAGTCGAGCTTTCTGAAGAATTTGCTCCTGCAGCCCCCTCAGCTTCTTCAGCTGCCAGGTTCTGACTCGAAGACTGACAGCAGGGTCAGCTCCTCTAAGAAGGCTTCCACGAATATGAGTCCAGCTCCCTTCCGCCTCCACTCCCTGACATTTCTCTTTGCTTGATGTTACTTTGATTTGTTCCCTTTTGGATCTCAGGTGCAGAGTGGAGTTAACTGCACTCCTCTGCTCGTGCTGTGTAGTCATCACTGGTCTGGTCAAGGCTTCTGTCTCATACCCACTGCCCTCCTGTACCTTATGCCCCATCCCCACTCCTGCCCCCTCCTACTGCAGGCCCCACACTGCCCCTCTTTGTAAAATTTCAGTCCATTTAAATGACATATATAACACGATGCTGTAATCTTCATTTGGTTTCCTACTCTTGTGCTCAAAGCAAGGCTTTAAGATCTATCCATATTGCTGTGTGTACATTCGTTTGTTACCACTACCTGCTGATCCACCCCATTTTGCTTTTCCTTTCCCCTCATATTGGACCCCTAGGCTGCCTCCAACTCTCCACTTCCACAAATGATGCTGTTATGAATATCCTTGTGAACGCCGCCCAAGGCAGGATCCTGTGTGGGATTTTCTTTGGAATATACACCCAGGAGTGAGATTACTGGTTCCCAGAGAATACGCACATGTAATTCCACTGAGTGCTACTGCCAGAGAGCACTCTAGAGAGCTGTGCTGGTTTACACCAGTCTACACCAGTCACACCAGTTTACGTTCTTACCATTACTGCATCTGGAGTACCATTTTCTTCTTTCTCAATACCACCTGCTATTATCCACCTTTCTGAGTCTTTGTTTTGTTTTGTTTTGTTTTGGTTTTTGTCCCTCTGCTGTGTATAAAGTAGTATCTCATTTTTATTTCAGCTTGGTTGTCTCTGATTACTACTGAATTTACACATCTCTTTACATGCTTGTGCCACCTTGATTTCTCTCCTGTGATTTGCTCACATCCCTTGCCCAAGTTTTATGTGTTTTTTTTTTTTTAATTTTCTTTTTGGTATATTCTAGATGTCTATATCCTGTAGATTATATCTTCTCCTACTCTGATAACTGCTAAGCTAACCTGCCTGTGATCCCCATCTTTGAAGAGAAATTCTTAATTTTAATGTAATCATATCCATCTGAATTTTAAACTTTATGGCTTGTTCTTTCAGAATTTTGTTTGAAAACACTTTCTCAATTCTTGGTCACAAAAATGTTGTTTTATATTTTCTTCTATTAGTGTTATGTTTTTAAGTTTCACATTTAGATCTGCAGTTCTTTGTGTTTGTATATGGTTTAAGATAGGGAGCTTGCTACATTTTTCTCCATGGAGTACATCATTTTCCTCCAAAAGAGTCTACTTGCCCCATTGTTTTGTGCTGTCAGCTTTTTCATAAATCAAGTAGCCATACGTCCCTAGTCTATTTCTGAGCTTTCTATTCTGACCCACTGATCTCTCCATCTCTGTGCCCAGCACAGAGTAGATGCCTATCAAATGTTTATGGAGTTGAATTTGCTGTTGAAAAGTCAGCAGCTGGGTAACAGAAACTCCGGAGGCTTCCAGCTGGGAAATGTTTCTAAGGACTGGATTCTACAGCACAAAATGGAAAGAGGACCCTTGGCAAGAAAGGACAGTGTTACGATCTTTTCACTGGATCACCAATCCAGTTAAAAATCTCACAAAGTCCAGGAACCTACCCCTGCTCCCTGATGAGCACATGTAGTCACGTGTCCAGAGTCTAGGCTGCAGTTGGGAGCTCACAGACCTCTGGAGCCTCCAAAGTTTCCCTGAGTTAACTGGGACTGGGAAAAGAAAACCCACACAGAGGACCTGTGCCCTAAACCTTGATACGCACTTTCCTTATGACCACAGTTATTTAAAATAGCTCTGAAGGATCAATAATAAGTACAAGCATTTATTGAATCCTGATTATCCCCCAGTGAGATGGGTTTTTTCACCATCATTTTGTAAACAAGGAAAATGAGGGTCAGAGATATAAGAACTTGCCATATTTGAATCCAGATCTGTCTGACTCTCAGTACTGGATCTCTGAAATGACCACCCTGCTTTGCAACTCGGTTGACCTGATATACTTCCAATTTCAGCTCTTTCAGATTCATCAATAACCACTGAGCCCTCTGGATCCCTCAGCTTCCCCCAGGAGCTTCCAACAGATCACATTTATGTGGATATTGAGCCACCTCCCACAGTGGTACCCAACTCTGCCCAGAATCAACTAAGCAGCGTGGTTGACATCCCTGACTCATCTCCTGTGCTTGAGCCTGAACCCAAACCGGCAGCCCAGGAGCCACCCAAAGATGGTAAAGCTAAGGTCAGACTGTAACCCCTTTTCATATTTACAAAGCTTTGCTTTGGAGGCTCTAGATACTAATCCTCCCCCCTATTAGCTGTGTGACTGTGAGCAAGCAACTTCATGTTTCTGAGCATCAGTTTCCTCATTTGTAGAATGAGCATACTGATACCCACTTCACAGATAAGCCAATGTATATGAAATTCAAGTGCTAGCCAACTGTGACAGTCATATTTAATTGAACAGAAACTCTTCTCAATTCATTAGCTTGGAAAAACAATAGTTTCTGTATCTAGACCCATTCCACAAATATTTAGAACCTACTTTGTACAAGGACAAGTAAGGAAAAAAAAAAAGAAGATGTATTCTCTGGAGTCTAAAGCGAAATGAGATTTCTAATCCTTAGCTGAGATTCTGGAAGGCAAGATGGACAAGTACACAAAGAACCATAAAGCATGAATGTGATGAATCTTTCTAAGTCATAAATTTGAGTGCAAAATCCTGGTGTGTCAACTGACAAAGCCGCAGCCAGTTTTTAAAAAGTCCAGAGGGATTGCCTGCCCAGCATATGGTAAAGGCTGAAATAAAAAGCAGAGTAGGACAGATTAATGGATATTTGCTCAGGCTGTTCCTATTGTATCAATGCTCGATACGACCCTCCTTGGCCCCCAAGGGCTTCTCTGCATCCTACCAGCAGTGCACCTGCCACTTCCTGTTAGAATTCCAGCTTAAGTGTGCATTGCCACCATAAAATTGTGGGCCCCACCAGGTCACAGATGATTTTCTTAAAGATATCAGTATCCCCTGCTCTTGATAGAGTACCTGGCACACCATAGCTACTCCAGAGATGTCTGAGAGCAGAGAGATGATGAGTATGTGATGAGTCTGTCATGGGACCGCTGTCCTCTCCCAAAATGCCTCCTCTTTCCTGTTTATGCATCATGCCTCTCCTGTCCCTCCATCTCCTCCTGCTTATGTTGCTGGTGTCATTGTTTTGCACCCATTCACCAGAAGTGATGCTAACAGGAAATTGTCTACATTACATCGCTTAATCCTCCCAACAGTGAAGTAGGCAGGTATGATTGTCCCCAGCAGAGGAAACCGAGAATCACAAAACTTATATTAATCGCTTGTCAACTAATGTCTTTCTGCCATAGCACAGTGTATCATGCCGCCTGCCTGTCTCTTCTACTGAATGAAGCTTCCCCAATGCGGGGATTGTTTCTCATTCCCCTTACATCCCCAGTGTCAGGCACAATATCTCACATCTGCGTGTTTAAGTAATAGTAAATGTTTGCTGAATAAATGAGCGAATGGATGGGTTGATGATTAAAGTATCATTTATGGAAATGGTACAGAGGGCTACAGCCTCAAAAGCTGCTCACACCCTCATCTGCTTCCAAGGGGACCTGTGTGTTCCCTTCCTCAGGAAACCAGCCAGCTACCAGCAGGCAGATCCATGAGGCCTCCCTAATGATCCATCCCTTGTCCCCTGCCAGGATGCCAGGAAACCTTCTCGAAGGTCAACCAAAAGGAGAAAGAGGACCATAGCGGATGAATCTGCTGAAAACGTCATTGACTGGTGGTCCAAATATTATGCCTCCCTGAAGAAAGCACAGAAGGTAGAGTGTCTCCTGGCTGTGATGGTCAAGGGATTGGAGAGGAAAACACGACGCCCTCCACAACACCCTCCCACACCCCTGCAAACCCATATTATCCCCTTCTAGATTCTACTATAGGTTAGGCCCTACTCAGGCATGGTGCTTTTAACTGCAGAAAGGTTCAAAGCCTGGAAGGATCCAGAATTGCAAAATCCTCACCCCCTGGCTGGAGCTGACCCTAGGACACAGGCTCTGTTGTAAATGCTGGAAGGATGTTCAGTCCGGCATAGCATCTAGAGATCTGGCCCCTGTCAGACTCTGAAAGGTCCAGCCATGAGAAAGGGGGTCTCTGGATAGATGGGCATAGCAATGGGGGCTTCAGGTACACCTGGAGATACCCAGATCAAAGGGCCCCAGGTCTCCAGCAGGATTCTAAGTTCGTATGGGAAGCTATCAATGTAAAGGCAGAGGAGTTGACCTTAGCAAATGCAAATAATGAGCAGGTTGCCAGAGCAAGCTTTGTGTATATGGAACAAGAAAGGTATTGAGTTGCAAAACTGGAGAACCACTGGAAAGTGGGTCGAGATTCAGGCAAAATCTCAGGGGCTGAATTTGGTAAAACGTCTTATCCTTGAGTAAACAAGGAAAGGAAAATTAGTCCTATGTCATCACATTCAGTTGCATAGAAACTCTTCTGATTCTTTCATTTGTTTTTTTTTTTTTTTAAGATTTTATTTATTTATTTGACAGAGAGAGACACAGCGAGAAAGGGAACACAAGCAGGGGGAGTGGGAGAGGGAGAAGCAGGCTCTCCGCCGAGCAGAGAGCCCGATGCGGGGCTCGATCCCAGGACCTTGGGATCAGGACCTGAGCTGAAGGCAGACGCTTAACGACTGAGCCACCCAGGCGCCCCTGATTCTTTCATTTGTTAAGACCATAGTTCCTTCATCTAGGGCTACCCATGAATACTGATATATATTTAAATAAACAAGCCAAACGGTGGCCCCTGCCTCCAAACTCCCTCCTGTTGCTGCAGTGGACACTACCAATCCCAGTGAGGGCTCAGCCCTTTTCCTTACCGTGCTAACCTCCCCAACCCCTGGGACCAACCCAAAGACCCAACAGCCTGGCGTGCCAGCAGATCAAACTCATGGTGCCAACTGGGTGATGCTCCAGGGAGGTGGGAAAAGAGGGGAGAGAGGTAGTGGCCTAGAGGGGGCTGTGCACACAGGGCAGGGAAGTCTGCTGCTTGCTGGTGCTTTTTTTGGACACATGGGCACCTCTTCTGTAGGGACAGGTATCTTGCTGCAGGAGGGTCCTGCTCTATCAGCGAGGCTTTGCTTGCAGGCTTCTTGGACACAGTTTGCATAGTCTTTTAAAATGGCATCTCCAAGAATGCAGAAGGCTAAGATGATGGAATTGGAACTGTTGGCCATCAGGACTCATAAATGAGGCATGGTAGGGTCAATAATCTTATCTCCCTCTTTTCTCAAAGGAAAAGGAGAGCAATCCCAAGGAGAAAAGAGGCAATGCAGGTAAGTTATTTGAGCATGGAATCTGGCCACTGGGGTGAGAAAATACTAAAAGGAAGCAGTGGGAGGCACGCTCGTGCTCCACTCCCTCATTTCCCACATGAGGAACAAGCTCACGAACATGACAACACTCTAAAAAGGTCATGTAGCTGATTTGAGCTGGACTGGGACCAGATCTCAGGTCTCCTGAACCCAGTTCAGTGCTGGGACCACCCCTCTGGCTCCTGTCTTGGTGTAGAAACAGCAAAGCAAAAGCAGGAGGAAGCTGGCATGATGGGCCAGATCCAGCGTGGTGAACTTTAATAGAGGTGACCCGGGTTTTAGGTTCCCAATTCAGTTAAAGATCTGATAGATTCTGGTTTGGCAGAAGTTCAAATGAAAGAGGCCGGGGATTTGAAATGACCACAAACTCGATTCAGGCCATCGGTAGGTCTTGACCTAAAATCAACAGTGACAGCAAGTGGTGATGCTTTTTCAGGTGACCCTGAGAGAAGCAGGAGAACCAGAACCAGTCTCACTCAGGTCCTCAACCACTCCTAATTGGCAGATTTCATCCCAAGACCAGCCTCATGACAGTAGCCACAGCATCTTCACTTTGGAGATGGTAAAACAGAGGTACAGAGAGATTGAGTAGCTAGCTCAAATTAATACACTGGAAAAGAGCAGAGCTAGAGGTCTGTTCCAGATGGTGTTTTCCTAGAGACTGTTCCTGAGTAATCTCTCTAATGACATTTGTGACTTGGTGCAAGACCCTTAACATAGCTGAGCTCAGGTTGCTGAACTAGATGAATCTCAAGTCCCTAAGCAGATCTGAGAGGAAATGTAACTAAAAGCTTTGGGTCTGTCCCTCTTGGGTCTGTTCTTAGCCAGTTGGATGACTGGGCAACATCCTTCCTTCCTTCCTTCCATCTCTGGGCCTAATTTAATGAATTCTTACCTACACCAGGACAGGCCAGCACGCTGCCTGGCCCTGGGGGTCTGTTGTCACTGCATTGCTCCATGAGTGGTGTCTCCTCCCATCCTGCAACACACAGACTTTAGGGCTGTATGTAGCAACTCTGCAGTGACATGTTACTATTTCTTTTTGCAAACAAAAGTCCTGACACCTGCAGGAACAAAGGGAAAGAGGGAGCTTGACTCTGTTTCTTCTCATCTCATCAGCACTGAGAGTCTAACAATTTCCACTAAATATCCACAGAGGCAAAACCAGATGAGGTAGTAGTAAATATAAAAGATGGGCCAAAGAAGAAGAAGGACAAGATGCTCAAGAAGAAACCCAAAGAAGACGAAATCCCCAACCTGGCTGTCTTGCAGGTTTGTGGACATGGCCGTCTTGACCAGGGGTGGGAAGCTCCAGATGGGGGTTCTGTTAGTGCTTCAGTTAACCCTAGTAATGCCTTTGTCTGAACTAACTTACTTTGTCTTCATTATAATCACTGATGCAGAGAAATGAACCTTAATAAGCATGCAAGCAAGACAATGGAGCTTGCTAATTTTCTATTTTCTGTGTCCTCATATTGAGAAGGAGCATAACTTTACATTGGTTAGCCTGGATCCAGCAAGGTAACTTGCGGTGGATGAGTTCCCCTGGCTCACCTCTCAGAGCTTGACATCATCATGCTCAAAATATGATCAAAATAGCAGGAGTATTTTTTTTTAAAGATTTATTTATTTATTTATTTATTTGAGAGAGAGAGAGAGAGAGCATGAGTGGGGGGGGGGCAGAGGGAAAGAGAATCCTCAAGCAAACTCCCCACTGAGCGGGAAGCCCAAAGCAGGGCTCCATCCCAGGACCCTGAGATCATGACCTGAACCCAAATCAAGAGTTGGCTGCTTAACTAACTTAGCCACCCAGATGCCCCTAAATAGCAGCAGTTTTAACTCTCACTAAAAAGTCAGCTCCATCAGACCAATCTTAACATTAGTCAGAGGCTATTAGCTAGAGGCATATTTATGGATATGAAAATTAGTATGAAAATTACATATAAGAAATTTAGATAAGTAATTTTGATAGGAAATTTGCATAAGTGATTTAATTATATTACCAAACCTAAAACTCAATTCAATTTTGCATTTCTAAAGTACATATATACATGTAACTTTGCACTTGGAAAATTCATGTCTATATGTATGATAATAAAAAATATTCCATTGTTTCATATGTGTTAAGAATTAGATGCTTAATGGACATTTATTGATTTGAGTGTCCTCAAAATCTTATAGTCTAGATACAATAACCAGATGATATCAATTTGCTATAAAAAGCTTTATCATATTTATCATAATATATTATATATTTTTAAAATTTTGGTTTAGCTATACTTCTTGGAACTTCAAAGTTTAGCCAAAAGATTTTATAAATTTCAGAATGGTAGTTAGTTCTAGGAATGCTGAGTCAATCATATTCCTTTTTTTGCTAAAAATAAATGAACAGTGGCCTCAGATTTTTCGAATGGGCATATATCAAGGCTGGTTTTGGAGAATCTTGGCGCTTCTCATTAAATCAATCCTGGGTCTTCCTTCCTCTGAGCACTCTCTTCTCCCTTCTCCCTAAAGATATATGATGGTGATCTCGAGAGTGAATTCAACCATTTTGAAGACTGGGTGAAAACCTTTGAGCTCTTCAGAGGCAAGTCTACAGAGGATGACCATGGCCTCGATGGGGACCGAGTCATAGGGAAGTTTAAGGCAAGTTCCAAAGTTAACCCTTTTATTTGGCTCTCCTGTCTGTAAATGACTGATGTGACTCAATTCTGTTAATGAGATTGTGGTGCGGGATGTGTATAAGAAAATTCCCTAGTCTTTATGCAAGAGCTTCTCTAGAACCCCACAAGGTCTAGCCCTGGTCTTTTGAGATATTTGGCTTGTGGTCAATGAAGTGAGCTGGAACTCAGTCTGATGGGATATAAGGAGACAGAGTTGTTACCTAAAAGGATCACTGAATTTTATTTTGCTTCTCCCACCGCGACCTACCAAATAGATGATCTATGCAGACGTACTAATTGCATGATTAAACTAATCAGACAACACTAACTGTTCATCCTGGCAGACTCTCGGTGTCAGCATCACAAAGAAGCAGTTGGCACTTCCTCTGACCTGCTGTGCACTGGGCCATTTGGCGCAGGGCCGTGTGTTGGAAGTAGCACGGGGACTGCAGTTGGCCCCTCTCTGATATTGTAGTACTAACTCGCTTCGTGATCTTGGACTTGACCTCCACGGGACTCACTGGCAGCGTCTGAAAATAGGAATACTGCAGTAAGGCTTGAAGGACCTAGTGGGGGAAAGCACCAGCTCAGCTCCCTGTGTGTTAAAGGTCCTCAGTATCCCATCTGATGCTCCTATCCACATTCCTCACAGAACAGCCCTATGAGGAGGTGTTATTGTACCAACACCGATTCACTGACATACCGTGAAGCACCTCAGACACAAGCAGTGTATGTGGACTGCCTGAGGACACCCAGACATAAGGGTAGCGCCAGCCCAGGTCCTGCTGGGTCCCAGACTCCACTCATTTTCCCAGCACTATGCCCTCTAGGGCTTTGGTGGGGCATATGACCATCTCGTTTCACTGGGTCATGCTTTACCATTCCAGGGCTCCTTCTGCATTTACAAGAGCCCCAAGGATTCCAGCATTGAGGACGGTGGGCAGCTGAGAATCCAGCAAGGGGTTCCACCCAACCATCCCGTCAAAGTCCTGATCAGGGTGTACATTGTTGCGGTAAGCTGTTCTTGTTTACTCTGAGGGATTGTCTTAATCTGCTCAGGCTGCCAATAACCAAATATCACAGACTGTGGTGAGGTAAATGACAGACATGTATTTCTCACCATTCTGGAGTCTGGAAGTCCATGATCAAGTTGCCAGCAGAGCTGGTTTCTGGTAAGGCCTCTCTTCATGGCTTGTCAGTGGCTACCTTCTTACTGTGTCCTCACATGGCCTTTCCTCTGTAAGCATGTAAGCACGTGCGCGCGCACACACATACACGTAATGAGAGTTCAAGCAGGAGAGTGAGAAAGAGAGAGAGCCAGGGAGAAGGAGACCTAGTGTCTCTTCCTCTTCTTATAAGGCCACCAGTCCTTTTGGATTAGGGCACCACCCTTATGACCTCATTTAACCTTAATTAGCTCCCTAAAGACCTGTCTCCAAATATAGTCACATTAAGGGTTGGGGCTTGGACACAGAACGTTGAGAACACACACTGCAGTCCATAACAGGGGGTATGAAGTTTGGTTGGTAATGTGCACATTTGCTGGCTTTTCACTTAGGGAAAATACTTCCCAGGCATATAAGACTGCTCTGGGTAGCTTCATTTGCTCTCTGTGGTTGCCTGATAGCTGGGAAGAAAACCAAATAGGCCTGGAGCAGGAAGCTCACAGGCAAAAGAGCAGAACCAGGGCAAAGCAGAACAGCTATCCCTGTGAAATCCTGCCCCAGGCTCTGGCTCTGCATTGTCGTGGTCAGAAATTTCATTTCAAATGTATCTCCAAGAAAAATATCTTTTCTGCTCTAGGCTTCCTACTTTCTGATAATGAGAGCACTGCATAAGTTTTTATTTAAATTCCTGTTAGTTACCATACAGTGTAATATTGTTTCAGCCGTACATCAGAGGGACTCAATACTTCCATGCATCACGGGTGCTCATCCTCAGGTGCCCTCCTTAATCCCCATCACTTATTTCCCCATCCCCCACCCTCCTCCAGTGATAGTTAAGAGTCTGTTTCTTGGTTGAGAGCACTACACTTCGATTATGAAACTTTTTGACCCGATTGTCCGGAAGCTTGGGGCCACATTTGATGTTCAATCAAAGCAAATCTCTGCTGAACCTTTATGGTTCATGTATTTGTTTTCATATCCTGCCCTTGGAGTTGATTTTCATAATCCTATTTGATTGCAGTAGTCTTATTTTATACTAAGTTCCTTGTTCAAATTGCCTATATTCTTTTTTAGAAACATAAATGAGGCATAAAACAAAGATGTATTATTCTTTAATACCTAGGGAAAATCTAAATAATAAGTTAATTTAAAAATCTTTTAGGGGCACTTGGGTGGCTCAGTTGGTTAAGCATTTGCCTTCGGCTTGTGTCATGATCCTGGGGTGCTGGGATTGAGCCCCGAGAGGGGCTCCGGAGCCTGCTTCTCCCTCTGCCTGCCGCTGCACCTGCTTGTACTCACTCTCTCTCTGTCTCTGTCAAATAAATAAATAAAATCTTTTAAAAAATCTTTTAATTTAATAAAATATCCAAAAATGTAAAAAATACTACTACTTAAAAGTTGCTCCAAGAAAGAAATCAAATGTCCTCACCTCTGCAATTCTATCCCTAGAAATAACTCACTTTTCTTATGACTATGTAGGCACATCCATAACTATAGTTGAACAATGTGGAGGTGAGGGGTGCTGACCCCCCTCTCCGTTGAAAATCCACATATAACTTTTGACTCCCCACAAACTTAACTACTAATAAGCCTACTGTTGACTTGAAGCCTTACTGATAACATAGCCAGTTGATGAACACATATTTTGTGTATTCTATGTATTATACACTGTATTCTTACAGTAAAGTAAACTAGAGACCAGAAAAATGTTATTGAGAAAAGCATAAGAGAAAAAACATTTACAGTACTGTACCGTATTTATTGAAAAAAACCCACATGTAAGTGGGCCTGCACAGTTCAAACCCATGTTTTCAAGAGTCAACTGTATTTACACTTGTCTACAGCTACATCTGAGTACTTATTTAATAGACTCTTGCTTCATGCATTACATATTGATCTCTTTTTCTCTTATATAGTATAACTTGATCATTTTCCAGATCAGTACATATAAGTGTTCCTGTTCTTTGTGGTAGACACCTAGTGTTTTCTTGAATTAATGTAGTTCCCATTTATTCATTCGTTCAACGAATATTACGAAGACCCTGTTCTAGGTCCTAGAGTTAATGTAATGAACAGGATGGATGGTGCCCGTGCTCGGATGGAGATCACACACTAGCGGGGGTGGTGTGGGGATTGAGAAAGGACAAAAATAAACAGAGGAGCAGGTAAATGAGATGAAGGTCAGAGATAACTGCTAGGTGAGGAATTGAAACTGGGTGATGTGATGAGAGCAAATGGGGCGGGGGCATTTTGGATTTCTGTATATTGCGTTTCTCCCTAAGTAATTAACATACAGGTTATTTACAAATCTGGCTAGTAAACAATGCTCTGATGAGCATCCTTGAAAACAGAGCTTTGTGTGCTTATGTATTCCATCTGTAGGACAGAGTCCTAAAAATGGGATCGTTTCTCACTCAACTCTCATTTCTACAGAGTTTCTCACCAGCCCACTATCTGGGCCTTCGCTTAGAAAGCGTTTCCTTGGGATGGGTTTAGGCCCAGCATGTCTAGAAGCAGACCTCACTCTGAGAAACAGACCACTACTCAGCTGGCCCGTGCTAAATGCAGGCCTGATGGAATCATGGATTCAGAGCCCATCAGTTGTGGGATGGGCCTTCACGTCCCCCTCCCCATGATTTTACAGATAGATCTTGGAGAGGAGACATGGCCTGCCCAAGATCATACAAGAAATAGGACTAGAGCTCAAAGTCATGCCTTCTGGCTTGTGTCCAGCATAGTGCTCATTACTCTGTGCCAAGCACTGCTTTCCACTGGGGAGATGGCTCCAGAGAAAGTTTAACTTGAGAAAAGCCAATAATTTTTCTTTCAGCAGCAAAACGGAGAGGCTAAAGCAGTGGTTCTTAACCTTGGCTGCACACTGGAATCATCGAGGGAGCTTCTAAAAGTCCCAAAGCTCAGGGTCAATTAAATTAGAATCTGGGGATGGAACTCAGGCATCCATATTTTTTAAAAATCCCAGATGATCTGAGTGTGCAGCTAATGTTGGGAACCACTGGACCAACAGAATTTTCTTTCTCTTCAGGCATTTAATCTCAGCCCCGCTGATCCAGATGGCAAAGCAGATCCCTACATTGTGGTCAAGCTTGGCCAAACAGAAATCAAAGACCGGGACAAATACATCCCTAAACAACTGAACCCAGTATTTGGAAGGTCAGTGGCCATCTGGGTCATGACATGCTGTCCTGTGTGTGTTTGTTCCTGCTGTGTCTCTGGGGGGGGCTGGTGTGTACATGTGTGTGTCTGAGTGAACGTGGCAGGAAGTTAAGCTGACCTCTTGGTAATCACCTTCGTGGAGAAGCACTAAATTCTTTTGTGGTCCCTTTAGGAATTTGGTGGTACCTGGTGATTTTCATGCCCATAGTTTTCCAACAATGATTTTCTTAGATCTTAAATATAAGAGGCATCTGAAAGGTCATCAGATTCAGCCTCCTGCCTTTGGACAGAGATTTCCTTTTTATAAACAAGCCAAGGGCAGCAACAGAGAGATTAAAAACTTATTCAAGTTCACACAGTTCATGAGGAGGGGAGAAGGGGCCATACCTTTGGTCATTTGTTTCCTATCGAAGGGATTTTTCCATCAGATCATTTTGCAGCTCATCTGAGGTGACCCCTGAAGTAAACAAATTGAATTGCATCCTCTGCTGGTGTTTTACTTTCCTGCAAAATGTTTCAACACACATTGCATTTGTTCATGTTTGGGTGAATGAGATGTTTTCTAGTTCACAGCAACCCTACTGCCCCCATTTGTCTTCTAACAGCGTATGGCACACATTTGTGTTCCCCACTTGGATTTGTGCACCTGATTGCTGTTAACTTTGGAGTTAGATAAATGTGGGTTACATTCTGCCACATACAGGCTGTGTAACTTTATGCAGGTGGCTTAACCTCTCTGATCCCAGTTTTTCTACCAAACAATCATGACACTTGACTCTCAGTGGCCTTTAAAAGATTAAATCTACAGCACTTAGCACATTATCTACATGAGCATGTAGTTGACACTCAGAACACATCTGCTTCCTCCTTCTCCCCCTGTGATAATCATTTTAGCAATGGCTACGTCCTAACTGTATTTAACTTGTTTTTTTTCTGGAGTAGCAAGCAGCGTGAGAGGAAGTCTCCATTAGCCTCATTTAAATTCATTTACACTTTTGTGATCACTGTGGACCCTTTGACATTTGATCAGAATGAACCTCTTAACACTTTATTGCTCTGGAGGAAATGAGGCAATAAATGATCTTGCCTGTTCAGATTAACGAGAATGATTAAAACAATGGTGCCTGGGAGGTTTACCCTTGCTTCCCTGACCAAGAGATGACCTTTATTATTACTTGCTGTTTATGTAACCAGCACTTTGTTTTGCCAAGTGCTTTGTAGTCACTTTTTATAAGGTACTTCCAGCACAGCGCCTGAGTTGGACTGGTTTTATTACCCCATTGATGGCTATGGTAAACAAAAGAAGAAGATGATGAAATATTCCCACCAGCCTCTGGCATTGTGGAGCCTCTGCCAGAAGCCCTCCTAGATGCTTTCTTCAGTGTGTTTTTAATTGTTACTCGGGGATAGAATTTGCTGGTTCAATCCTGCATGTTCCAGCAGGCAAAGTAGAGGGCTCCTGTCCCTGACCTGGAGTCTGGGGAATCCCTCTTTGCGACCTCACAGTATGAGGATGTCACAGGCTCCATCTCCTGATGCCTGGCACCTTGCCTGCTTTACTTTCCTTCACAGCTTCTGACATAACTTGATACGTTTCTGTGTTTATTGGCCATCTCTCATCTTCCCACGAGAAGGTGAGCTCCCTTTGAGCAGGGATTTGGTCTAGTCTATCCAATGCTGCGTCCCTAGAACCTACAACAGGGTCTGGCACAAAGCAGACAGATGCTCAGCAAGTATCTGGAGAGTGAATGAATGAATAGATGGAGGGACAACCTTCCGTCAGTTTCCAGTCAGAATTAATGGGCCCCTGTCACTCTGCATCATCCTGACGTGGTGTCCTTTGGCGTTTCCTCATTTTCTTCACAGTGCCTGGCATACAGGTATACAACGTATAATAAATGTCATATGAACAAACGAATAAATAAAAGAATGAATGAATGAACAACTTTGCTCTGAAGCACAGAGGTACTGAATGTTTCAACAAGGCTCAGTTTTACCCATTTCATATGCTTTCACTCTTTTTTAATGTAATCTCTATGCCCAGTCTGGGGCTCAAACTCACAACCCTGAGATCAAGAGTCGCACACTCTGCTAAGCCAGCCAGGTGCCCCAGTGCTTTCTCTTTTCGCAACCACCATTGCATTTAGAGGTAGTATCTCAGTGTGTAAGCCTAGTGTAAGCCTAGTCTTTCCCCGGGTGACTGGAAGTCCAACCATGGTGAGCTGTTTCTGGTAGTTCTTTTAATGACAGTTCCAGTGAATGGTCAAGAGAGGTTAATCTGTGAACACTCCGCTTGGGAAGATGGACCAAAGCAACTGGGTCTTCTGTCACTGTTGCCAGGGTAGTTAAGAACTTAACGAGTCCTTCGTTGGTGGCAGCAACCATGTGATGGCCAACCTCAGAGATTGTGGCTGGAGGCTTCCTTGTGAGACACCTCCAGAATATCAAGCACAGTTTGGAATCTACATCTTGGTGCCCCAGGCAATGCTATGCCTACTGATGGAAGACACATGGATTTCTTCTCCGCACAGCCGTATTTCTGGCCTATTAGAGCTGCCTCGGTCAGTTCCAGTCCACGGAGCTGCGGCATCTCTCTTGCTTTCTCTCGGGAAGGCTTCATTGGCCGGGGGCTGCTGGTGTTAGAATTGTAATCGCTGCCACTGGAGACTGAGAGCTGGGCCTCAGTGGGTCTGACCCCAAGGGCAGCAGCCCAGACAGGCCAGCGGACACGGAGGGAAATCATGGGCCTTCCATCCTCCCTTTCTCCCCACCTCCTTTCGGTCCCTTGCTCACAGGCCAGCCCACCGCACCTGTCCCAGGGCAGCCGGAGTTGGAAAGAGCCGGAGAACGCTGGTGTGTTTTTTATTTTCTTTTCAAGAAGACACTTCCCTAAACTGACTCAGGATTTACTTCTTTTTTTTTTCTCTCTCCAAGTTTTTATTTAAATTCTGGTGAGTTAATATACAGTGCGATATTAGTTTCAGGTGTAGAATTTAGTGATTCATCCCTTACATACAACACCCAGTGCTCACCAGTACAAGTGCCCTCCTTAATTATCTTCTGTAATGCTCAGCAACGCGGATAATGCATTATCCCAGGAAATCCCATGGCACTGCTTTTCAACACCTTGCGTTGGTGTGGTATCATGGAAAGAGCTCGGAACTAGGGGGGTCGGGGAACTGGTACGTACCCTAGCTTGACCTGATTTATGGTCCAGGCAAGTCACTTCTGTGCTCCGGATTTCAATTTCCTTATCTGTAAAATGAAGGCATTGGGATATGGTGATTCCTGAGATCCCTTCCAGTTCAGGGAGACATTCATTGCTTACTCTCTGCAGGTGAAGCCAGGGCTCTAGCAAAGCAGAGGTGAAGGAGGCAGGTCTCATGGTCGAGGGGCTCAGAAGTTTGCAGAGATGGCATTGCAGTCCTGCAATTTTGTTTTCAGGATTTTCCATCTTCAAAAAGCTTCTCATTTAAAACAAACTCAGCTGACACCGCCCCCCCTGCCGCCGCCATGAAGCAACCAGGGAGGGGGAAGGGAATGGCAGTTTATTGGACACCAGTTGAATACCTGCAAGCTAAATGTGTGCTTTGTATAAACGATATCACAGTTAACAACCATGCTATATTATAAAGAAGATATATTGATCCCCATTTACACCTTAGGAGGCTGAGAGGGATGGAATAACTTTCCCAAAGTTTTACACCCAAGAAGTTGCGGATTCAAATCCAAAATTAGAAATCAGTTCTGTTGGAGACCGACCCCCCAGGTGTTTCATACCCATCTTGCTGTCACCCTAGATGCAGACTGTGGGATGCGACCCACGGAAGTGGAGATCATGGGCTCCTGGAAATTGACAGGGAATTGGAAATTGAATCTCAATGAAACATTAAATCAAATAAATACCTACTAAGTATTCACCGAGTTTAGTGAGTTCCTCTGAACCACAGGCTAGGTCAAAACAGACTGGGGAGACGTTCCCTGTGTAGCCAGATGTAGATTCCTAATGCCTTTACTTGGACCACAGGTCATTTGAGATTCAGGCCACATTCCCAAAGGACTCCCTGCTCTCCATCCTGATCTACGACCATGACCTGATCGGGACAGATGACCTCATTGGAGAGACCAGGATCGACCTGGAGAACCGTTTCTACAGCAGACACCGAGCTATCTGTGGCTTGCAGAGCCAGTACGAGATGTAAGTTCTTCCCGGGGCGGGGGGCGCTGCTGTGCCAGCCAAGGCTCAGCTTGAATGTCTCAGAGGGGTTCCAGGTCAGCGGGGCTGGTGGGGGAAACTGTTCGCTGCACTTGAGGGTGGTTGGTACTGGGGAGGCAGCACTGATTTAGAACCCAGGGCAGGTTCTTCAAGAGTCAAGAGCTGAATTAACATGTTCACTCAATCAGTTGAGCCTGGTGGGCAGAGTTTCCTGGTGAAGAATGTTGTTCGAAGAAGAATGATTAATAGTACACAAATGCCAATATCCCAGTTAATTATAACAAACACTCATGAGTGTTTATGATATACAAGACACTGTACCTCATTCAGTTCTCTCAAAACCCATTGAGGTGTTATCCCCACCTTACAAAGAGGGAGGAATGGACCAGCTCTCACTCTTTACAATGATTTTGAATTCTGCTTCATCAGAAAAAATTTTTGAAAGATTTTATTTATGTATTTGAGAGAGAGAGCACACATGAGCAGGGGGAAGGGCAGAGGGAGAAGGAGAAGCAGACTCCCCGCTGAGCAAGGAGCCTGATACGGGGCTCGATCCCAGAACCCTGAGATCAGGACCTAAACCCAAAGGCAGAGGCTTAGCCGACTAAGCCACCTAGGCACCCCTCTGCTTCATTTTAAAATATAGACTACCAGCTTTATTTTTTTAAAGTGTGTTTTATCTGATATCTTAAGAAAAAATAAAAATCTTCAGAATTTCAGCCAGGAAAAATGTAAAAACATTCATTAGATTTCCATGGTGTAATTTTAGAAATGCTTTTCTTGAATATAAAATAATATATATTCATTGCAGAAAATTGAGGAAATGCAGAAAGTACAAAATTATGCTCAGATTATTCCACCCAGACATAACTTGAATAAAAAATTCTTACCTATTTCCTTTTAGTATTTTTTCTATACTGTTCTTCCCTGAAGTTGGCCTCACATTATCCATGTCATTTTGCAAGCTGCTATTTGCACCTACCCCTATATCCTAAGCATTCTGTAGTGTCATTAAGTATTTTTTGAAATCATTGTTTTGATAGCATAGTAATCCAGTTTGGTTTGGGGGACTCTTGTGAATGTATAAGCCCCCTGAGGTGTTTACCTGAGAAGGTACCATTCAGAGAATGATGAGTTGTTCTCACTCTGAAGTCAGGGAAGGAAGCCACAGGCAAAGATGGTGCCTCTTCTGTTCAGAAGAATCTCCTGACAGTGGAACCACCAGGGAGCAGAATAGTTTAGTCAAGGGGGTTGTAAACTTTGTTCAGTAAATTTTTAAAAATAGATGAGAGCAAACAAACAAACAAGAAAGCAAACAAAACCAAAACAAATACCAGAGCACCTACTTCTGGGGAAGCCTGTGCATGTATGGCTCTGGGCATGGCTTGGATGAACTTTTCAGGATCCTCATGTCTTTGGCACAAGGTAGGAACACTGCTTTATACTTATGTTTTGATTTATTTAAATACTTAAGTTAAATTCTGATGAATCCTGTGTCCCAGTGAACAGAGAGATCCAAACTTGTCTTGGTCATGGCTCATAGGGAGCATTTCATTGCAACTTAATATTTTTTAACCAAACAGCTAGTGTTTAAGGGAAGAAGGGGTTGGAAAGATTTAGAAACTAAGCACCAGGAAAATCACTGATTAGAGAAACAGCACATCTAGACTCTCCACCTGTGACGTGAGTCTCCAATATGATTGTGGTGGGGGAGGAGAGGGGAAGAAAGAAGCAGAGTAATTGAAAGGCTGAGCTAAGCTTTCCTCTTAGAAGTAGGAGTCAGATGGCTCTTCCGCAAGGGACAGAACAAAACTAAACAGGAACTGCATGCAAAGAAATCTAGACCACAGAAAGCAGATGGCTGACTGCCAAAGGCTGAGGGGGGCGGGGAGGCAAGGAGCAACCACTTAATGGGTACAGGGTTTTCTTTTGGGGTGATGAACAATTTTTAGAACTAGGTAGAGGTAGTGATTATACAACATTATGAATGTAATGCATGCCACTGAGTTGGTCCATTTTATGTTATATGAATGTCACTTCAATTTTTGTTTTAAGGTACATTTCTTCAAACACACACACACACACACACACACACACACACGCAAAAACAACTACCGGCAAAGAATTTTTATGTCAAGCTACTCAGAAGCCTTGCCTTTCATTTAAGCATGCAGATGCAGAGGAATTAACCAGAAAAGAGAGAAAACAAAACAAAAAACATTAGCCCCAAGTGTATAGAATGGCAAGAAATCTGAAGGAAACCACTGATCATACTTAGGTGGTCCTTTTGATAGCTACTTTAAGTGTGTCCTCCCAGGGGAAGGCAGGCCTCACCCTATCCATCCTTCCCCCCTCTTTCTAGAGAAGGATACAACGCCTGGAGAGACACATCCAAACCCACTGAAATCCTCACAAAGCTCTGCAAAGACAACAAGCTGGATGGACCCTACTTTCATCCTGGGAAAATACAGATAGGAAATCAGGTCTTTTCTGGAAAAACAGTCTTCACGGAGGAGGACACGGGTAACTCCCCCAATGTATCCTGCTGATGTTGCTCTTCTTTTGGAAAGCCTGCTTCTGGTGGTATTTGTGGCTGCGGAAAGCAGCCATCTATTGTAAATTAATCATGCTCCTGGTAGAAAATTTGGAAAAGAAAGGGGATAATGATAATCACTCAGAATCCCCAAATTCAGAGACAAGCATGCTGCTTGTTGGTGTGTTTCCTTAGTGTGTGTGACATTTTTACAGAACTGGAAGTGTACCATATATAGTATTGTATATCCTGCTTTTTCTATTTCCAGTAGATTATGCTGATTTGCCTTTGTTCTTTGAGAGTGTCATTGACAATACTCCTTTTTTATGGCTGTCTCATTTATTTACATTGTGTCTTGTTTTTTGTACATTTCTGTAGAAAAGAAACATGTTTCTTATACATATTTTTGCACATTTCTGGTATTTCTATAGTGTAGATCTCACAAATAGGATTGCTGTGTTGGAAGGTAGGCAGTAACCTCAAAATGAATATGATATAAAATAAATCACTGGACACGTCCCAAATTGCCCCCACAAATGTTATACCAACAACCCTCTTATTTCAGTGCCAAGAAGCAGATTTTCCATATAAGCACATGGGACATACCAGGAAGATTCCAGAGGGGCTTTCATAAATTGAGGATAAGAAAAAAAAGCCACCTTTACTTTACTTTCATGATACAGAACAATTCTTGTAATGCCATTCCCATCCATTTGATGCCAATCAATAGGTGTAGAGTTACATATGGGCAAAACATAGGTTCAGAGCTTCTGATGCAAAGGACCCAATTAAGGACATATCACTGGATGTGTTCACAATGTTATGTTGATCCTGCCACTTTGACACCAAAATTTCTTCTCACCTTGTTATTTTGACCCCAAGAACCTCTTGAAGGTTTTTTCATGCAGAGTAATTGACATTTAAATTGTGTACTAATGACATCTTAATGAATTTCTCTTGAGAAAAATATTTTTTCCACAATATACTCTATTAGGCCAATTAATTCCTTTGTCAATATTCTACGTTTCATGACGAAACCATTTTCTTTGGCCACCAAAAATCTGAAATGATGTTCATTTCAGTCAGTCAAGAACTGATTAAACTTTATGACAAAAGATTTAGTTCACTGATTATGTGTTCATCCCCATCAACTTCTACTGATTGTAATTATTGCTATTGGGAGATTGTGTGTGTGTATATGTGGCCCTTTCCTTTTTTTTTTTTTAAGATTTTATTTATTTGACAGAGAGAGACACAGCGAGAGCAGGAACACAAGCAGGGGGAGTGGGAGAGGGAGAAGCAGGCTTCCCGCGGAGCAGGGAGCCCGATGCGGGGCTCGATCCCAGGCCCCTGGGATCATGACCTGAGCCGAAGGCAGACGCTTAATGACTGAGCCACCCAGGCACCCCATGTGTGGCCTTTTTCAAACTGAACTCGGGCACCTGGGTGGCTCAGTTGGTTAAGCGACTGCCTTCGGCTCAGGTCATGATCCTGGAGTCCCGGGATCGAATCCCACATCGGGCTTCCTGCTCAGCGGGGAGTCTGCTTCTCCCTCTGACCCTCTTCCCTCTCGTGCTTTCTATCTCTCATTCTCTCTCTCTCTCAAATAAATAAATAAAATCTTTAAAAAAAAAAACTGAACTCAACTCCTTATGTCAAATTTGGCCATTCTAAACTTTATCAAAAAGATTTGATTTTTTTCAGCAATTTTTGTGTTATTTTTGCAAGTACTTTGTCTACCAGTAGTTTTTATTATGTATTGCCTTCTTTGGTAAGATGACAGTTATGAGAACCTTTCCTATGAGCAAGTATGTTAGTGGGAAGGAACAACGAGAAAAGATAAGACCTCCATGAACACATACTGTGCGGATTTCACCACCTTGTTCAGGACCACCCAGATCTACTAGGTCCTCTCACACTATAGTGTTAACAAATAGTCTTATATCTCCAGGAAATATACCCTTTCCAGTACCTCAAAGCCAAGCTTGCAGTTCACAGGCTCTAGAGGAATCTGATTCAAGGGGCAAATGGAGCCACAGACTCTGAGACCTTGACTGCGCTCTGGTCATCTTGTCAACCCATCTCACTTCCTGCTCTCTAAACCTCCTGTCTCTTTCCCTTCCCTCCACTCCACCCCCACCTCTTTCTATTCTCTTTTTGTCCTTTTTCTCTTTTGCAGTTTTACTCTCTCCCTGTGCCTTGGTACATTTAAATTTAACCTTTGAGGGAGTGTTTAAAAGTGCACCTGACAGCCCATCATTGTTCCATTATGGGAAAATATATCTGACAAATGCCTTTATTCTTCTTTCTTCCATGCAGATGAGACAGTGGAGTCTTACGAGCACCTGGCCCTCAGGGTTTTACAGTCATGGGAGGATATACCAGAGGTTGGGTGTAAGCTGGTTCCTGAGCACATAGAAACTCGGCCGCTGTACCACAAGGATAAGCCAGGCATGGAGCAGGTAATGGCCAAGACAGTTCTGGCCCCAGTAGGAGTGTTCATCCCCAAGGAATAGGACTTTGTCCCGAAAAATTATTCTTGTGTGCCCTATGGTAATGGTTCTCAACCAGAGACAGTTTTGCCTCCCTGCCCCAGACTTTAGCAATGCCTAGAAAGCTTTTTGTTTGCCTCAAGTGGGTGGGGATGCTACTGGCATCTAGTGGGTAGAAGTCAGAGATGCAACAAAACATCCTGTACTGCATAGCCAGCCTCCCACAACAGAGAATTATTCAGCCCCAAATGTCAGTAATGTTGAGGTTGAGAAATTCTGCCCTAAAGTCAGAGTTGGATTTAGTGCTTTTTGCCTTTTTAATGGATTTGAGTTATCACACTCTTTTGAAAGAATGCTGATATTTGAGAAACTTCAAAATCCTTCTGACATGCCCAAGACCTTGTCCAAAATCTATCAGTAACCCCACAGGCCATTAGTTTCCCAGGGAAGCAATAGATGGTGGCTTATTTTGAAGAACTGGCAAGAGGAAGCTGTTTGGAAAAAATAACCAGAGATCTGGGTTATGAATTAGAAGTGAAAAGAAGATCAACTTTATTAAGAGCCTTCTTGATATGTACTTATTAATTATATGTATATAATTAATATGTACTTATATACTAGGCCCTTTATGTAAATTATGTCAGTTAGGATGACCATAGATTTGTTTATCCAAACGATGGCCATTTTGAGAGTAAAAGAGGCTGCTGTTAATAATTAAGCTGGTATAAGGCGCACCACCAGGGTTTTTCTAGACAAATAGGGGTGTGTGAGTCACCTTACCTTATTCCCTAATACAGCCTCATGGTGTACTTATCATGATCCTTGCTTTTAAGATGAAGAAATTGAAGTTCAGAGAGTTTAACTAACTTGCTCAAAGTTACTCATGTGGTAAGTAGTAGAGTGGGATTTCACCCAGGCAGTTTGAGTTTTAGTCCTGTCCCAGCCCTGGACTCACTCACTGTGTCAGTTGGGCAAAACACATGAGCTTGACTCCAATGGGGCAGTTTCCAAAGGCCACACTGCCATCTCAGCGGTGTTGGGAGAGTGCCTTTTATAGATGTAGAAGCCTATGATTCGTTCCTAAAATTCACTGCCAGATGTTTAAAACCTTTTGGTTATTGGTATCCTTCATTTTACCATGTGGCTTTTTGGTTACAAGTGAATGTTAATATCTCTTTAGAGACTCTAGGATTGTAATCCTCCATTAATTGGTTCCTCTCTTTCCGAATGCTAAACTCTTTGCTTAAATTGTCCCTTCCCTAGGAAAGCCCTTTTATTTTCTAGCCAAAGCCCCTCCTTCACCTAAATCCTACAGATCCTCCCTGCTCTGGTTGGGAACCCCACTTCCTTCATATAAAATCTCCCCTGACCATCCCAGGCCTTGTTGATCACTCACCTTCTTGTCTGAGCTGATGGAGTACTTAGAATGTATACCACAGAGCTGAGGATTGAATCCACTGGGCCTTCTCCCCACATGGGCACTCAGATCCCTTGCAGCAGGATAAATTCTGATGTATGGAGTCCAAAGCAATGGATGGGAGGCCTTATTCTGGCACTAATTAGCCACAGGACTCCTATCATTTCTTTGGCTGCTCTAAGCCTTGGTTTCTTTAGATGTGTAACACAGAAATGTAGCTGGGCTAAGCAGTTATGGAGATAAAGATGTTAAAGCACTTTGGAAACAATGAAACATGATACCTCTGACAGATAGTATTATTATCTTTTTAATCCTTAGGAGTTTATAGAAAAAGCAGAGTCTCTGGAGTCAACAGACAAGAGTTGAATCCAGACTCTGCTACATATTGTCTGTGTAAGCATGGGCAAGTTGTTTTCTCATCTGTCAAGTAGGAATAATAATATCCATCCTTTGGGGATAGTGCGGGAATTGACATAATGTTTTGTCAAGTGCATAGTACTGTGTCTACCACATAGTAGGTGCTCAATAAGGGTTTGCTTGCCTTTCACCTGCTCTTAACATATGTTCTGACTAATTCTTAATAAAAATGTAAGTTCTGTCTTTGTCAGCAAATATCCTAAGCATGTATAATATGAATAATACCCATATGATAAGATATGATATGATATATAGCTAATATCCATGACTAGTAAAGGGATCTGTTAACACCATGAATGATCAGTTGCCCACGTGATACCCCGCCAAAGTTAAAGGAGATCTTCTTTTCTTAACCAGGGCCGCCTGCAGATGTGGGTGGACATGTTTCCCAAAGATATGCCTCCACCTGGACCTCCTGTTGACATTTCACCAAGGCAGCCTAAAGGGTAAGTCAGCGAGCTGCAGCCCTACCTTCAGGGGAAGAGACCATGGTAGCCAACTAAAAGGTCATGACATTTGATCAATTACAATGATTGTTGCATTGTAACATCAGTTACACTGATCAGTTGACACCTGATAATCATATCTCACTTTCCATCTGGCCATTTACCACAAGGGTGAGTGATCGTAATGGTAGCAGTGGTTATGGTTGAAATGCTGGCTCCCGTTATATGGGGGGGCTATTGTGCTTCAGCATTCTGCAACATTCTGAAATATGTCAGCTAATGGAAGAAATTACTGCTCAGAGAACTTCACGTCCTTGGTGATTCCAGCTGGGACACTTGGTTTTGAAGGAACCAAGACCTTAAGTGTTGATGTTTTTGAACGTGGTAAAGTTGAAGACGCCTACTGACACACAGCAATACCAGAATCCCATACACACCAGCTGACTCCGCTTTCCAGGTCTTCAGCCTAATGCTGCCTTCCCTTATCCCAGGTATGAATTGAGAGTAACCATCTGGAACACTGAAGATGTCATTTTAGAGGATGAGAATATCTTCACAGGACAAAAATCAAGTGATATTTACGTTAAAGGGTAAGGTCATCAACAAACTCCATGCCCCCTTTTCTTCCCCTCCTCCTCTCTTTAACCCCCAACTGAAGCTATGCCTCATGGAAGGTAACTCCACCCACCTCATACAGAAGGAGTCCATCTTACTCACCTTTTTAGATAAGGTCACTTCCTTTGTCAAATATTATTTGGTCATTATGCTAAGAATTATTATCTTATGAAAATATTTTTGTGAGAAAATTTTATTATATAAACATCTCTTTCAGTTAAATGTGGGGTACCTAAGCTTTTTGAGTGGCATTCAAAATACCTTTACACCTGAAGCAAGTAGAGAGATGTAATGTAGCTGATGAGAGATTCAGTGGTAGGAAGGTTGTAAGACTAATACAGAAGCTAAAAGGTGCTCCTTACCCTTTGCTAGTTCTACTGATAGGAAAGACACCAACCTAGGACTCAGGAAACTACCCTCTCCCTCCCTCCCTTCCCACCCCTTCTCTCTCTTGTCTTGGCTGTGACACAAATGCTTCCTTTGAGCCCCTAGTCATGGAGACAGATGAGGTGGTAGAGAATCAGAAGCAAAAGTGATTCAAACATGTCCCCTTGGATAAAACCCATCTCAGAAGTAGTGAACTCATCTCAGCCTCCTTTTGGTATCTCTTTGCCTTCCCCAAACAAGGAACCTTCTTCTTCCTTGGCGCTATTTCTAGTATGCCATTGAATCCTATCCATTTAGCTTCCCAAATGGCTGTCAGCACCGTCCACTTCCATCTTCACCACGCCACCACCATAGTCTTTCCCTCCATCATTTCTTGCTGAGGCCACTGAAGTACCATGTGGGTTGGTCTGTCTGTACTCACTCTTGCCTCCTATAACTTATTCTCAATGTTGAAGCATGGGTTATCTTCTCAAAACACAATCTGATCAAATCAGTCCTGTACTTTAAACCCTTTATTGACATCCTATTTTCTCTGGACGAAGATTCAGATCCCTAATATGTCCTAAAATATCCCATCTGACTAGCTCCTCCTATGTCTCCAGGCCCACCTCATCCTTCCTTGCTTTGTGCTCTCTAGTCATGCTGAGCTTCTTTTCCTCTTTGGAGTGTGCGCCACCATACCACAGGGCCCTTGCACATCTCTCACTGGTGACTTCTGCCAACCCTCCATCTCTCCACCCCCTTCCCTCTGTGGCTATAGCTCTATTAAGGCAAGGACCATCTCTGTGTGCTCCCATCACTCCTCTAGCAACTAGCTAACCCCTTGCCTCATAACAGATACCACATATATATTGGTTGAGTGAGCACCATCTTTACCTAAATAATTGCATCCATACTCTGAGTGGTACCACTCCTCTGGGACAAGGAAGGTCTTTATCCTTCCCTGACCTGTGGGGAAGGGATGTCTGCTTTCAGAAAGCAAGTGGTTTGGAGTTATCAGTTAAAGTTAAAAGCACCCATTTTCTCAATAATTCACCAGGGATAAAGTACTAGGGGAAAATGTATTAATGGTAGCTTACTCTATACTGGGGATGGAGGAGGAAGACCAGATAAGAGGAAATAACATTCTATATAACTTGGAGTACACAAAGCACCTTACAGCTATTACCTCTTATAATTCTTCAGAGCAACACTATGAACTAGGTGCTGTCATTGCTTCCATTTTCCAGATGAAACAGAGGTACGGGGCATTTGAGACTTTATCCAGGGCTTTCCAGTTAGTAATGGTAGGGCTAGGATTAGAATCCAGGTAGGTGCAGACAGGCTTCCACCCTCCATGCCATGTTGATGCAGGCCTGCTGGGCTTTTGAGGCCCAGAACCAGAGAGGAGGGAGCCGATCACAGGCCTGATACCATGAGTCTAAACCAGGCCAATTGTGGAGGCCCACCAGGGTAGTGGGTGCAGAGGTGGGACTTTCACAGGAAGCCCCAGGGGGAGAGGAAACTCTGATTACACTTTCCCTTCACATTTCCTCAGTCTTCCCTCTTTACTGCATGGGGCTTCAGGGCCGCCCCAGAACAACCAAAGACATCTCCCAAACCTGGCTTAGAATGAGTCTCATTTCTCTTTCAGACCCTTTGACTCCTATTTCTCTCTTTCAGATTCAGTGGAAACTTCCATCTGAATCTAACTATATCATAATTTAAAAACTATGACCTGTGACCACATTGAAACTAGTTAAATCACTCTTGATTATACTGATGCCTGAATAATGTACTCAGGGACTCAGGGTGTGTAATTCTTTTTCTGTCTTTATTTAGGTGGATGAAGGGTCTGGAGGATGACAAGCAGGAGACCGATGTGCACTACAACTCCCTGACTGGCGAGGGGAACTTCAACTGGCGCTTCCTGTTTCCGTTTCAGTATCTCCCAGCTGAGAAGCAAATGGTCATCACCAAGAGGGAGAACATCTTTTCCTTAGAGAAGATGGAGTGTAAGACACCAGCCGTGTTGGTGCTCCAGGTCTGGGATTTTGAAAGGCTGTCTTCGGATGACTTTCTGGGTAAGCTGGTGGCTTCGTAAAGGTCACATTAATGTTAAGGGCTTCGTCCCAGTTTTTGGAGAGCTTGGTTTGATTTAGCTACAAGGATAACAATTTCAGTGCTATTTATGATAGCAAAAGATTAGAAACACTCCAAATAGGCATTAATAGGGGATTGGCTGAATAAGTTATGGTGCATCCTTATGGTGGAAGATACGTTTTCAAACAGACTTAAATTCATCTTCGCTCTACCAATAAGAAGCTGTTAAATTTTGAGCTAGTTACTAGTCCCCTCTGTACCTCAGTTTCCTTCAGTTATAAAATGGGGATAGTAATATTACATACCTCAGAGAGTTTTTGGAGCTCTAAATTTGAAGTACAGCTTCAAATCTAATATAATTAAAAATATAACTTAATTTAATATAATTAAATATAAATTTAATATAGAATTATTCCAATTAATATAATTTAATGTAATAATATAGAATTATTACAATTAATATAATTTAATGTAATTTAATGTAAGGCTCTAAATTTGAAGTACAGCTTCAAATCTAATATAATTAAAATATAACTTAATTTAATATAATTAAATATAAATTTAATATAGAATTATTACAACTAATATAATTTAATGTAATTTAATGTAATGTATTTAATATAATTTATATAAAAATATAATTTGATTTAATACTTTTAAAATATAATTTGAAAACACACGTAGTAAGCACTCAGTAAGTGATAGTCCCACAGCCATTAAAAATATTTGAATATTTAATGAGTTGGATAGTTGTACAGGATGTATTAAGTGAAAAAAGAATGTAGAAAAAAATCCCCTTTATGCAAAATACATGTTTATATGTATCAGAGACAGAGTCAGAGACAGGCTAAGAAACAATGACTAACATAGGATAAAAACTAATGTGTAGAGCAGTGATCAACTTTTGGGGGATGGAATTATGGAATATTTTTCTATGAATTTCTGGTTTATGTACATGCTCTAAATGCTCACAATTAGCAAATATTCTGTAGTAGGGAAAGGTTATTAAAGAGAGAGAGATAAAATACTCTCATAGTAGTATCTTATTTTCCATAATATTCACTCATTGAAAATACTTTGTTGAGAGCCCACTAAGGTCTTGGACAGTAGCTACAAAGACAGTAAGACTTAGTCCCCTACCTGGAGGAGTTTAGTGGACTCAGAGGGAGGTGAGTTGGGGGAGGCGGTTCTCTTCAGCAGACCCACGCTAAGGCAGAGGAAAGCTCAGAGGACAGGCACATGATCCCCAAGCACTCAGGGAGTAGACAAGATGTCCAGCAGTGACAACACCCGAAACTGAGGCTTGGAACTTATATTTTGTAGCTGTGCCCTGTCTTCTACCTGCTACTACATTGGGTGCCTTGAGGGCACCACACATGTCTTGGTAATATTTGTATCCCCCAAACCTAGTACATGCTAGTCATCCAATGTGGTGCTGGTTGAATGACTAGTGAGTAAATGAATGAATGAATGAATGAATGGGTGGGTGAACGATTCCTGGTGATGGATACTAAAGCCTTTCCATAACTATCAAGGGCATCTCTTCACAGGCTCCCTGGAAATGAACCTCAATAGTTTCCCCCGAGCAGCCAAGTCTGCCAAAGCCTGCGATCTCACCAAGTTTGAAAATGCAAGTGAGGAGAACAAGATCTCCATATTTCAGCAAAAGCGTGTGCGGGGCTGGTGGCCTTTTACTAAAAGCAAGGAACTCACAGTAAGTGGCAGCTGTAGGAGACAGGGTTGGGGGGCAGACAGGGACCATCATGCTCTCTAAGTGAATCACTTTGTAAACGTCAAGTGCCTTGAAGTGACATGGAACACTTTAGGGCAAAGTTTCTGCTGAGAGGCAAGAATTTTGAAAACTATAAATGCATTGAGCTTCTGTATTTCAGCATACTTGATTAAATAGCTATGTCAGGGTGGCTTTCTAACCTCTTAGCTTGAATTTATGCCCCTGGCATTATTTTTTTCCCAACATTTCTTGAAATTATGCATTAAGTCTTGACTAATGCACAGTTTTAATGGAACAACCTCATCCCCTCACCCTCAAATGCAAGACTCCATTTGAAAAGTGATGCAGACTTTTAAAGCTTCCTTGAGAGGGTGGCAGCAGAGAGAGCCATTTCCCCTTTTCCCCACATTGCCAGCCTGGTCCGTGTAGCACATGCTGTGGGCGCTTAGTCCTTTCACAGATATTGGGAAGGAAGTTCTGCAGCCTTCTTAGTGCCGCTCCATAAGGGAGGGCGGATAACGCACATGGCGGGCAGGGTTGAGAGAAGGGAGTGCATTGGTGACGCCTTTCCATGCTGCCTCCTCCTCTTGGTAGAGAGTATGTTCTTCCTTCTGCTCCTGTGCTTAGTGGTAAAAGCATACCCGGTTGGAACCTTCTGGTCACACCTGGTTCTCTCTCACTGCTGTAGGGGCCCAGTGTGTGTGTGAGGCGAGGATTCCCTTTGCACCTGCCTAGCCTGACTCCATGGCATCTAGTTTTATTATATTTTCTGGAAGGTTCTCTCTTCCTGCCATTTTCAGTTGAACCTCTGATGGGTAAGGTTGGGTCGAGAGAATGAGGCCACAGTCCTCACGGCCTTAGCACATGAGAGATGCTCAATCAGTGAATTGGTTGATGAATGGGTGAATTCAGCAATGACGTCAGCATGGCCTCTGCCCTCAACCAGCTCAGAGTCCAGTGAGAGACAGATGTGTCCAGTCGTGCATGCAGTAGTCAATGTATAAATGACACAGGGAAGGAAACGAGAGGAGGGAGGGACCTAATTCTCTCTGAGGATGTTGAGGAGTCAAGCAGAGTATTAGTTTTTCAAGAGCAAAGGCTCTTGAAAAGGCATTTTCTAGATGAAGAAGAGGGTGGATATCTACCTTGAGTAGAGGAACCATGAGGAGCGCAGCACAGAGGCATGAAGCACTCCTGTGTGGAAGGCCGGCTGCCCACTGCTCAGCGTTGCCAGAGTGCAGCATGAGGTCGGGACATGGGGCCTGCCAAGCCCTCAAATCCAAATTCATGTCTTTTGATATAATTCCTGTTTCTACAAAATCGTCAAGGGTAATTACGTATGCATGATTATGTAATGGCCGTCGTCATTTATTACACTTCTATAGCCCTTTAGAGTTTGCCAAATATGTTCAGACTTCTGTTATTTCATTTGAGCCTAGTTGACTATTTTCTGTCACTTATTTCTTTCTTCATTTCATGCAACAAATATTTCTTGAGCATCTGTTAAGTGATAGGTCCTGGGAATAAAATAGGAGTAATAACAGCCATGGGTCTCTGCCAGCATGGAGCTTACTTACAGTCCAGCATCAAAGACAGACACACACATGTTGAAGAGTTTGGATTTTATCCTCAGAGCAATGGGGAGCCACTGAATGATCTCCAGCAGGGAGGTGAGGGGATCTGACTCACACAGGAAGAGTAACCCCTCATTGCTTATGTGGACAATGAGTTGGAGAGGGTCACAATTGGAGAAGGAGAAGAACGAGGCAGAACTGTAGGAAGAAAATGATAAAAATGTGCCTGGGAAACATAAACCCAGAGAAGAGTCTCTTTTGAGAAGGACAGTTGGGTCACTGTGTCAGATGCCCCTGAGTGGTCATATAAGAAGCAGAGAAGTGTCCGGTGGATTTAGCAACATGGAGGTCACTGGTGACCTTTTGGAAAGTAATGTTGTAGGGGAGCCTGGTGGCTCAGTTGTTAAGCATCTGCCTTCGGCTCAGGTCACGATCCCAGGGTCCTGGGATCGAGCCCCGCATCGGGCTCCCTGCTCGGCGGGAAGCCTGCTTCTCCCTCTCCCACTCCCCCTGCTTGTGCTCCCTCTCTCGCTGTGTCTCTCTCTGTCAAATAAATAGGTAAAATCTTGAAAGAAAGAAAGAGAGAGAGAGAGAAAGAAAAAGAAAGAAAGAAAGAAAGAAAGAAAGAAAGAAAGAAAGAAAGAAAGAAAGAAAGAGAAAGAAAGAAAAGTAGTGTTGTAAAGGCTCATAGCAGCACTGTTCATAGTAGCCCTGAAGTGGAAACCATGTCCAACAACTGATAAATGGATGAACAAAAGATGTTATATCCATACAACGGAATATAATTCAGCCATAAGAAGGAATAAAGTGCTGATACAGGCTCCAACGTGGATGGACCTTGAAAACATTCAAGTGAAAGAAGCCAGTCTCAAAAGACCACATACTATATGATTCCATTGATAGGAAATGTCTAGAATAGGCAACTCCATAGAACGTAGATTGGTGGTTGCCAGGGCTGGAGGGACGGGGAACAGGGAGTGACTGCTAACCAGTACAGGACTTGTTTTTTGGAGTGATAAAAATGTTCCGGGATTAGACAGTGCTGCTGATTGTACAACTTGGTGAATATACCAAAACCTACTTTATTGTGTACTTTCAAAGGATGAACTTTACGGTATGGGAATTATATCTCAATATTTAAAAAGCATTGTCGGGGGAACGGTGAAGACGGACACAGACTAGCATGCACTGTGGAGCAAGTGGGGAATAAGTTAGCAGAGACAACATGTGTAAACTCTGAAAGTCTTCACAATTCCATCTTTCCCTCCCCCTCCCCAAACCGCACCAACTGTCCTCATATGCTAGTCTCCAGCCACTCCCGGTTCCCTCCCACACCCCTACTCTTCTAGAGACTGGTACTTCTGCCTGGAATGCCTTGATGCCCTTCTTCTCTGCGAAATCTCCTCCTCCTTAAGGATTCTGAGACTCTTTTCGGCAGTCACCTCCTCTGGGAAGCCTCCCTGATGCCCTAGGCTGGGATAGGCTTGCTTGCCTTTATGTTTCCATTGTTCTTGTGACACTGGTTTGTAATTGTCTGTATACGGCATGGTTCTGCTCTGAGCGGCCTGAGTCCAGCCAGTGTGGTTTCTCTTTCTGTTCCTTTTCAAATTTGTAGTGTCTCATGTGGTGTCTGGCACATAGTATGTGCCCAGTAAATTTTTATTGCATGAGTCAACAGTTAAGACATTGACCCTACCATCAAAGATATTTTATGATTTCCTTCTCTTTTTATTCAGTGTACTGAATACCTAGGAAGGGTTCAACAAATAGTCTTTGAGAACAAACACATCAGCACACATTTCTTTTTAAGACTAAGTGTCACAGTAGAAACCAGAGAACAGTGTGCCAAAAAAATGAGAGAGAAGACAGGTAGATTTTAATGGTGGGAGGTTCCAAGGATCCAGAAGACAGGTTGTCTGGGGACCTGTGGAGAAGGGATGAAGGGGTGTTTAGGCTGAGACAGTATGTTTTCCTAGATTGCATTAAGTATTACGAAATGGTTAAGACTAAAGAATGTAGAAGCAGACAGCTTGGGTTTGAATCCTGTCCTCTCCTGACTAGCTGTGTGACATGAGGCAAGTTACTTAACCTCTCTGTGCCTCAAATTCCATTATCTATAAAATGGGGATTGATAATACATACACAACTCATAGGGTTTTAACAGGTAAATGAGTTAATATACATGAAGTGCTTAGAACCATGAAAAGAAATGAAGACTACCCGAATGTGAACGGGCTGTTTATTCAGAGCTGGCTATGACAAGAGAGTCAGCCACCATCACTCTGGTTTGGTAGAGATTTGGGCGGGGGGAGTAGGGAAGCTACAATGAAAAAAAGGGAAGATTTCAGGTTCGTTCTGATTGGAGGTTGTTGGCAGGCAGGGTAACTAGAAGGGGGACATCCTATGTGACTGGTTAAGGGAGAATACGGGGGCGGGGCACAAAAATTAGGGAATCCGCCTCAAGCAGGCAACTTGGAACCGCGCAGCCACAGAAACTGGGAGAGAGGGGTCATGGATGTTTCCATTGCAAAGAGATGGCTCCCTGGTCTTTGGGAAAGGTGGATCTTGGGTATTAAAGACAAAGGGCCTATCTAGTATCCCAAAGGATTTGTACATATTTCAAAGAGAAACGAAAGGGCTTCCAATTACATTTTCTAAAGTGAAGGCTCTTAGAAAAAGGAGAGGGAAATCTCTTCCTTTATTTTCCACAGGAAATGTTAAGCTTCTTGTTTTTAATTTGGTTTTGTCCTTACACATCCTAGAGGGAAAATGAGACTTGACTTCCTCCCCACCCACCTGGCAGTCCCCCACTCCCTGGTTTGGCCTGCAGCAGCAGGATGCCTCGCGTCCACCCTCTTTCCCTCCAATGAACCAGTAACCACAACTAGGAATCCAGACCGGCAGCCTTCTCTCAGGGTGGCAGTGAGTTGGATGAGCTGGGAGTCAAGTGGCGTCGTGGAAAACCTCAGTCAGGTCTGCCACCTCCTGAGGTCCTGCCATCCCCAAGGCTCAGTTTCCACGTCTGTAAAAAGAGTGGGTTGGACTGGGTGCCGCCAAGGTGCCTTTCCAGTATGGACACCCGCTGCTACCGAGCTCCCCCACCCCCCACCCCCGAAGCCAGCACTCAGGAGGTCACAGTCCTGTTCCAGGCACCAGCCAACCAGCAGGGATTTGCTTACTGCCGCTGCCACGTGCCCAGGCTTATTTTTAAAGCTGCTTATCTGTACACCCAGGCAGTGCAGTTTAGACATCTGGATCACAAAGCTCCTAGTGTGGAATGTGGCCACGCTTATAGGCAGTGAAAAATAGCTCCAGGTGGGATTAGCAAAGAACAGGTACCCTTGGGACAAAAGGAATATGTATTGAACAGGTGCTTTATGAGACACATTGCGGTATGCATTTTATATG